CATGCAAGGACAACCAGTGGGACTCAGTTCTCTCTTTCTACCATGTGGGTCCTGGGGACCAACTTCAGGCTGTCAGGGTTGACAGTAAGTGATCTTACTCACTGGGTCATCTTGCTGGGCTTTTTATTTTATTGTTTAGTTGTAGTGTTTATAGCAATAGATCATAGATCTTATACTCTTAATTTTTTTTTTTTGAGACTCTATAGCTCAGGCTTGTCTTGAATTGCAGATGATCCTCCTGCCACTGTCTCTTGAGGCCTGTACTTCACTAGACCCAAGATTTGTGATTTCCCACCCTGTAGCCCAGGCTGGTCCATAAGCTCGCTGTAGCCCAGGCTGGTCCATATGCTCCTGCTGTGGGATGGTCTGTATGTCAAATGTGTTGCTGATTGGTCAATGAATAAATCACTGATTGGCCCGTGGCCAGGCAGGAAGTATAGGCGGGACAAGGAGGAGAATAGAGCTGGGAAGTGGAAAGCTGAGAGAGGGAGACACTGCCAGCCGCCATCAGGATAAGGAAGATGTAAAGTACCGGTAAGCCACAAGCCACGTGGCAAGGTATAGATTAATAGAAATGGATTAATTTAAGCTGTAAGAACAGTTAGCAAGAAGCCTGCCACGGCCATACAGTTTGTAACCAATATAAGTCTCTGTGTTTACTTGATCGGGTTTGAGCAGCTTGGGACTGGCGGGTGAGAGAGATTTGTCCTGACTGTGGGCCAGGCAGAAAAACTCTAACAACAAATGGCGTCCAACGTGGTGGCAAGAGTTTCCACCTAAAACCTGAGAAAAAAGATTCTAAAACGGAGCTAAAAACAGCTTCCTAATTGTCTCTCTCAAATGAGCGGCAGCTGCCGGTTTGAGCTACTGGCAGGTTGCTGGCGTGCGCGCTCGACCTGCAGTATGGCGGGAATGAGGCCTCTGCAAGTGGCACATTAAGCTACATTGTGGATTTAGCCTTTGCTAGTACAAAACAAAAAAAGAGGTTTCTGGGCTACACGCTGCTTGGATAAAAGCATAGACCCACGATAGCTCCCAGAGCTGGTGGTAAAGTACCACGCCATGTTGGGAAGCTGAGGTGGGCAGAGCCAGCAGCCACAGCTGCTGCAGCTTAAAGCAATAGATTCACAATAAGACAGATTCAGATGTAATAGTTTAAAATGTGTGTAAAATATACGTAGGCTTGAAAGAGAAAAAAAAAAGGTGATATATACAGTATAGAAACAAATACATGGTTTTAAAAAATAAAGTCTTTAAAGAGACAGTAAAATTAATATAAAAAATAAGCCACATAGAGATGACTATTACACAGAGAGTCTGGATTGTGTTGTCTTTGGGATTCTTAACTACAGAGAGATATTTGATTGTAAAGGAAGCTGAGTTAAACCAGTATGTATATTTTAAAGATACTTTGACTTCAAAATTTGGATGTAAGGATATGTTGCTTTGGAAAAGAGTCTCTTTTGTTTCCACAGAAAGCAAGAGGCTATGGATTTGTTCCAGAGTAAGATACATCAGGTTTGACCAGCCAAGACCACCTGAAAGGTCTCCGATGACACCATGGCCCAGATGATCCAACATCCAGAACCGTCTCAAGGCAACTGGCTCAAACGATACAGCCTCACGGACTACTCGTTGATCCTAAAATTTTCTGTTTCCCCAGAAGATACAGCGCCCCCCTCCAGCAGGAAGTAGTAAGAGAAGCTACGCCTAAATTCCCAAATATACCAAGCTGACTTTGGAGATGTGTAAAGGTTAAAACCTTCCTTTTTAAGAAAAGAAAAGGGGAGGTGCTGTGGGATGGTCTGTATGTCAAATGTGTTGCTGATTGGTCAATGAATAAATCACTGATTGGCCCGTGGCCAGGCAGGAAGTATAGGCGGGACAAGGAGGAGAATAGAGCTGGGAAGTGGAAAGCTGAGAGAGGGAGACACTGCCAGCCGCCATCAGGATAAGGAAGATGTAAAGTACCGGTAAGCCACAAGCCACGTGGCAAGGTATAGATTAATAGAAATGGATTAATTTAAGCTGTAAGAACAGTTAGCAAGAAGCCTGCCACGGCCATACAGTTTGTAACCAATATAAGTCTCTGTGTTTACTTGATCGGGTTTGAGCAGCTTGGGACTGGCGGGTGAGAGAGATTTGTCCTGACTGTGGGCCAGGCAGAAAAACTCTAACAACATGCTCCCTGGAGCCCAGGCTGGTCCATATGCTCCCTGGAGCCCAGGCTGGTCCATATGCTCCCTGGAGCCCAGGCTGGTCCATATGCTCCCTGGAGCCCAGGCTGGTCTATAAACTCCCTATAGCCCAGGCTGGTCCATAAACTCCCTATAGCCCAGGCTGGTCTATAAACTCCCTATAGCCCAGGCTGGTCTATAAACTCCCTATAGCCCAGGCTGGTCCATAAACTCCCTATAGCCCAGACTGGTCAATAAACTCCCTATAGCCCAGGCTGGTCCATATGCTCCCTGTAGCCCAGGCTGGTCCATAAGCTCCCTGTAGCCCAGGCTGGTCCATATGCTCCCTGTAGGCCAGGCTGGTCCATAAGCTCCCTGTAGCCCAGGCTGGTCCATATGCTCCCTGTAGGCCAGGCTGGTCTATAAACTTCCTGTAGGCCAGGCAGGTCTATAAACTCCCTGTAGCCCAGGCTGGGCTCATTCACAGCAGTCTTCCTGCCTTGGCTTCTCATGCGCTGGGTGGGATTGTAGGCATTATAGGCATGACCTACCACTCCTGGCAAGATATTTTATTTTAATATTATATATTTCACTTTGTCCTAATCTCTGCTTCTATTACTACATATAATATTTTATCAATATCAATCAATTCTATTGAGTGCCTAAGTTGCAAAAGTTTTCATTATGTATATATTTTTGTTTTTGAGACAGGACCTTACTCATGGCCCTCCCCCCCCCCTTTTTGTTTTTTGTTTTTTGTTTTTTGTTTTTTTTTTTCGAGACAGGGTTTCTCTGTGTAGTTTTGGTGCCTGTCCTCACTCTGTAGACCAGGCTGGCCTTGAACTCACAGAGATCCGCCTGGCTTTGCCTCCCAAGTACTGGAATTAAAGACGTGTACCACCACCGCCCAGCGCCACCCCCCTTTTTTAGCAGCCAGTGCTTTAAAAAAAAAAAAAAAAAAGATTTATTCTTGTATTTTATGTATACACCAGAAGAAGGAATCTGATCCCATTACAGATGGTCGTGAGCTAATGTGCGTTTGTTGGAATGGAACTCAGGACCTCTGGAAGAGCAGTCAAGTGCTCTTAACCACTGAACCATCTCTCCAGTCCTCATGGCCCTCTTTATGCCTCCATCTATGGAGTGCTGAGATAACAGCTCTGAGTCACCATAGGGTGGCTTCAACAGGAGCATTATTCCTTATGCAGAGAGGAAAATCCAGGGCTGACCGAAGGCAACTCACTCGTGTGAGCACAAGCAGCCTGTGGGGGGGTGGAGCTCAGACCACAGCCCACATCTGTTACTTTCTGTGCCCTCTTGCCTGGTACCATGTCCTGGGCAGTAACTCTTCCTTCTAGCGCTTTCGAAACATGCCTTCTTGCCCCTTTCGGGGCTTTCTGGAAGTGAGTCTGGCTTGAAATCCCTAGGGAAGAGTTTCAAACTCACTCCCTATGCTCTTTTTCCCAGCTGGGGCTGGGGGCCAGGGGAGTGGCTTCACAGGAGATGGACATAAAATGGAGGGAGGCCTGGGCTGTGCCTGGCCACGCGGTATTGCCAGGAGGCTAGGAGGTGAGGGGGAGGAGAGGAACTGGGGTATTTGGCTACTAGAGAGCAGGTGTGGTGGATTTGGTGGAGCTATGTGAGGGGTGGGGTATAAGAAACAGGGTTGAAACAAGAGTGCTTGGGTAGCATTAAGTGGGGGTGAGGGGGACTCTAGCTCTGTCGGGCTGACCTGGGGAGAGCCCGAGTTATCAGAAGGGAAGAATGATTTTACCTGACTGAGGAGGTAGTTCTCCATGCCTGCCCAGTCCTGGTGTTCAGACCCACTCCCTGTGCTAAGGGCTGAAAATAGGGACAGCAGGGACCCAGGAGGGATGACAGCACAAATGGACAGAGAAGGGCAGGGTGGATGGGTCATTCTGTGAGCAACCAGAAAAGGCTTTCCTGAGTTAGCAGCGGGAAGCTGGGGCTTCTAGGTGGCTTATGTTGAGCTCTGAGTTTGAGACAAGCATTGCAGGTAGAAGGGATTGTCTGTGCGGGGGATTTGCAGCTCAGCAGGCAAGAACCAGAGAAAGCCATACAGGAGGAAAAGCAGAGGCACATGAGCCCAGTACCACCCTTTAGAGCTGTGATGCCCATCGTGGGTACTCGGTGTCACGAACCAGAGGAGTTATCTAACTACATTAGTTAAGGTTCCATAGAAGTGCAACGTCAGCTCCTCTGTCACACTAGTCACGGCGCCAAGGGCTCTGGGTGGGTGACAACTACGGTATTGGCGGGCACAAACCTAGGCTGCCTTTAACAAGTTCTCTTGGCCGGCGCTAAGCCTCAGGAGGGCTTTATTGCTCAAGGGCCCATAGTTAGAGCAGGCTCTCCAAGGTCTGGCTGCCTGTGGAGTTTCTGGACAATAGGTGACTTTCAGATCTCTCACAGCATGAGGTAGTGTGACTCACCTCCTGCCAACACAACGTGGACTCTGTCCCCAGGGACAGAAGCAAATCAGTGAGGGCCTCTTCAGCCCTGAGCTGGGCTCCTCAGCTCAGTGTCGCCAGAGCTTGGGGCAGAGAAACATGGAGTGAGTTGTGCTGGGGCTGGGAGCAGCTGCGGAATAGGTGGGGGTGGTAGACGCTGGCTCAGCTGTAGTCGGTATGGATTTGGGGAAATGGGGGTAGGATGAAAGACTGGGGCAGAGGGCTGTTATGTGGGGGTGGGGTGCATCGGGCCAAAGAAAGAAAGAGAGAGAGGGACCACTCCCTCCCTTCACACTCTAACCAGATAGGTTTCTGCCTCCCATCCAGGTCCAACACAATCCAACTGACAAGGATGGACTATGCCATGAAGTCTCTCAGCCTTCTGTACCCCAAGTCACTGTCCAGGTAAGGACAGCCGGGGATAGAAATGAAGGGGGAACCTGGGGAGCCATCTGTTAGAACTTTGAAAACTTTACTAGGTATAAAAACCATATAGGGGCTGGATGTGGTGGTACATGCTTTTAATCCCAGCACTCAGGAGGCAGAGGCAGGCAGACCCTGGTGAGTTCAAGGCTAGACTGTAGTGGACACAGCAAGTTCCAAGTCAGTCAGAGCTACATAGGCCATCCTATCTAAAAAAGATTAAAAAAAAATCATGTCGTCTCTATCTGAAACACAGATATGGCCAGGCATGGTGACACACAGTTTGAATCCTGGCACTTGGGGAGCAGAGGCATGTGAGTTTGAGGACAGTCTGGTCTGCATAGAAAGTTCCAGGTCCAGAGAGAGAGGGAGGGAGAGAGAGAGAGGGAGAGAGAGAAAGAGAGAGAGAGAGAGAGAGAGAGAGAGAGAGAGAGAGAGAGAGAGAGAGAGAGAGAGAGAAGAAAGAAGAAGAAGAAGAGGAGGAGGAGGAGGAGGAGGAGGAGGAGGAGAGAGAAGAGAAGAGGAGAGAAGAGGAGAGGAAAAAAGTTAGTTCCAGGGCTACATATTGAGATGCTATCTCAAAAATAAATAAGCAAAGACCCCATTAAAACAAAACAAACAAAATCCTACAATAAGCCCCACAGATCTGACTCAGGAGGCCTAGAGTGGCACCCAAGATCTTGCCGTCTGGACGAGGCCCCATCTTACTCTCTCTGCCACCACTGCCACAGTTCCCATCACATCTGGAGTAGAAAGGGCCAGACTTGGCACTGGGTGCTTTTATTCCTGATCTCCCAGGAGCCTCACTAGTACTCTGGGAAGTGGGGGCCATTATGCCAAGTCAATAGATGAGGAAACTGAGTCACGGGCTGGGTATTCTGTCACCTAGCAAATCTGTAGCAGAGACAAACTTTGAATTGGAGCCCAGAGAATCCCAGACCCAGATTCCCTCCACTCCTTTCTTTTTACACTGTGTACTTTAGAGTCCCCCAAATACTCAGTAGGCTGCCACCACCCCTCCATTTCACCCCAGTTGACAGGCAAGGTGAACAAGGTCACAAAAGCAGAGCCATCCACAGGGGAATGCGGCTGGTCCAAGCCACACTGACCCGGCTTGGGGACTTGTTAGACACGCAATCCCTTAGGCTCCACTCAGAGGCACGGAAGTGGGTCTGATTTAAGCAAGATCCCCGCTGATTTTCCTGCCCATCCAAATCGGAGATGAATCTTCTGACGGGCGTTGTGAAGGCCACCTGGAGCAGCCATGATGGGTTGGAAGGGTCAGCCGTGAACTCAGCAGACAGGTGTGGGTGGACCTGGTGGCTGCAGGCAGGTCATCTGATGTTCACACTGATGTCCCCAGGCATGTGGCAGTGAGCACTGCCGTGGTCACCCAACAGCTGGTGTCTAAGCCCAGCCGGAAAGCCCCCAGGGCGAGGCCCTGTCGAGTTAGCACAGCAGATCGGAAGGTTCGCAAAGGCATCATGGCTCACAGCCTGGAGGACCTCCTGGGCAAGGTAAGGCATCTGCCTGTACCCTGCAAAGACTCTCTCCAGGCCTTGGCTGAGAGTTGACCCTGCCAGCTGCCTCCGTCTTCCAGGGCCCCGAGCTGGAATTCTGTGCGCATGCGCGTGCACGAGACGTTTTTAAGCGGTGAAACGTTGTTTGTGGTGTCAGAGCTGGAGGGTTGGCATTGCCTGCCTGGAGAGCTGTGTGTGTGGTTGGTTACGTGACATGGTCAGGCGACAGAAGGAGAGCAGGACATTGCCATCTTACACACTAACAGTGGGTGGGCGGTTATTTTCTTGCTGAAAGGCCCTTCCTTCCCTTTACCCAGTCAATATCTCTTATAGTTGGAGAAATGAGCCAGGCTCCTTCCCGGGAGTCCAGGACTTGGGAGACTGGAGTTGGAAGAGCTCAGGTTTGAGGCCAGCCTGGGCTACATAAGTGAGTTCCAGGATACTCTGAGCTATACAAAGAATACGTCTCAAAAGAAATTAAAACCAAGGCTGAGTATGGCGGTGCACGGAGGAGAAGCCGGAGGACCACGAGTTTGAGGTCAGCCTGGTCTCTACATACGGAGTTCCTGCCCAGCTAGGGCTATATAACAAGACCCAGACTTAAACACCGCCCCCCCACACACACATACACACAATAAAACTAAACAACATAAAAACAACCTTGTAGATGTTTCAGAAATTGAGGAAACAGGATTTCAGTGCTTCCGGTCTGCATCTCCTAACCGCCCCCACTCAAGTCTTCCTGTATGTGTCTCCCAGGCTGGAACTTCCAGGAAAAGCTTTTGTTTGGAAAATTAGTACGCTCCCATGAGTGGAAACCCAGGGCAGCCAGCTCCTGTACTAACAGAAGCGCGGAGTACTAAGAGCAGGACCCAGTTCTCATCCTTCCTCCCCCGCCCCCTTCTACAGCCTCTTCTAATTTTGCTTCTATCTGTCCTGTGGGCTCAGGCCTCTCTGGCCCATTAGTATCAGCTGCATGGGGCTGGAACCCCTGCACCTGTGGGTCCAGGTACCCCACACAAGTCAAGCATTTGGATTAGGTTTTCAGGTGTCAGAGTCAATTTAGCAGGCAGAGAGCATAGCGGACTTAACCTTCGCTGGTGGGGGTTCCATCTCATTCCTGTGAATGAGCTCTGTTCTTCCTAGGAGTTGGGTTGTTGTCTCCTGGGAGGTCTCTGGCTGAGTCTGCCTTGAATCAAAAGGACTGGTCCCCTCTTTGCTCTGAGCTCTGGGGACCACTTCCATCTTTAGGGTGTTCTTATAACCAATTCCGACACTTCACGCCCCTCATCCCCATCCCCAGAGACTGGGTCATGGCTCAGGCTGGGGGCTCTCCTTTTCAGTGGGTGCTTCAGGAGAGCCTTTGAGTTGTAGAATTGTAGAAACTTCTAGTCAGGGTTCTGTTGCCAGGGGATACAGGGAGCAACAGAGAGACTCCATCTCTGCAATACTGTCAGAAGGGACTCTTCCTGCCAGGGCTTAAGGACGTCTGCTGACTTAGCCTTCGAGGTGAGGTTTCTGGACTTTGACTCCACATCTGGCAGCACAAAGGTGTGGAGGGGAGAATATAGATGTGGTTGCCAAGTAACAGTTCATTTCAGAGAGTAAGAGAAAGCCTTGGAGGTGTTTAAATTTTAGTTTTTTTGTGGTGATTATCTACTTATATTCTCTTAATGTTCCTCAGCCACCAAAATGAGAAAACAATGTAACACCAGCAAAGCTCAGCTTGTGAGACCCATTGGAGCACTGCTGATTGTCCCCCAAATCTGGACAGTTTTACTTGATATTTTAAAACTATTACTGCAAGTGTATGATGTGTGCATGAGTACTGGCATGCCCATGTCACAGGGTACACGTAGAGGTCAGAGGGCAACTTTCAGGAGTCAGCTTTCTCCTACTGTGGCCTCCAGGCATTGAACTCAAATGCTAAAGTGTGCACTGCACGCACCCTTCCCTGCTGAGCCCTCCAGCTGGCTCTTGAAGATGGCGACAGCTAGGACAGTAATTTTATTCCCTGTCCCTCAGTTTTGAAAGACCGTTTCTTCCGTTCATGCTATATAGCTTTGGCAGGAACAAGATTACAAAGAAGTTGTTGGGGCTAGAGACATGGCTCAGTGGTTAAAAGCACTTCCAGAGGACAGAGGTTCAGTTCCCAGCTCTCACATGGCCTGGTTTCAGGGGATCTGATGCCCTCTTTGGCCTCCAAGGGCACTGAATGCATGTGGTGCGCACACATACATGCAGACAAAACACTAATACATATAAAATAAATGCTTAAAAAATATTTTTTAAGCCTTTAATCCCAGCACTCGGTAGGCAGAGGCAGGGGGATCTCTGAGTTTGAGGCCAGCCTGGTCTACAGAGCAAGTTCCAGGACAGGCTCCAAAGCTACACAGAAAAACGCTGTCTTGAAAAACCAAATTTTATATATATATATATAAAGTTGACACCTGGGGATGTAGCTTAGTCAGAAGAATATTTTTCCTAGCACAAACCTCGGCTCAATCCCTCACACCACAAATAAACACAGAAAGAAAGAAGATAAAGAATTATGCTTACAAACATATATACCTTTTATTCTCTTGTTTCATTTAACTTGATTATCTGAATAGATTTGCACAGTTGGGCTTCCCTGTGTAATATTTTTATTTTTCTCAGTGGGTTAACTGTTTTTAACTTTAATTTTTTATTCTCCTTATATTAACTGTTTTCTATACCAAGCAAACATACAATTCTGCCTCAGGCTTTAAATTTACTAATTTATTGATACAAAAAGACATTATATTTTGGGGAGTGTTTTTGAGACAGAGTTTCTCTGTGTAGCCCTAGCTGTCCTCCTGGAACTCACTCTGTAGACCTGCCTGCCTCTATCTCCCAAGTGCTGGTACTAAAGTCGTGTGCCACCACCCCAGAACACCAGACATTTAATGGTATAAAATGATAATAACAGATTGTTTATTGTTGTTCAAATTACCCCAGACTCAGTCAGGGGGACAGGCTTCAACTCAACATTGAATTGGATACTTTTTTATTTCTTTCTCCACCCTCCCCCCACTTTTCCTGGAGAGAGGGTCTCGGTGTACAGTCCTGGCTGGCCTCTGTCTCTATGTACAGACCAGGCTAGCCTTGAGCTTGCTGAAATCCCCCTGTCTCTGCCTTCTGAATACTAGGATTACCAGTGTACACCATCCATCAAAATTGACTGAACTGTATTCTTTTAAATAGTGCAGGTTGGGGCTAGACAGGTCACCACCTAGATGTTAAGAGCATGCATTGCTCCTGTAAAGGACCCAGGTTCAGTTCCCAGCACCCACACTGGGCTGCTCACAATCACCTGTAACTCTAACTCCGGGGCATAGCATAGAACTGTGGGCAGGTGTACAGTCCCACCTACATACATGCATATACGCATAATTAAAAATAAAATTTTAGGGGTTGGGGATTTAGCTCAGTGGTAGAGCGATTGCCTAGCAAGCGCAAGGCCCTGGGTTCGGTCCTTAGCTCTGAATAAATAAATAAATAAATAAATAAATAAATAAATAAATAAATAAATAAATAAATAGAATTTAAAAATAGTCGCCAGGCATGGTAGTGCATGCCTTTAATCCCAACACTTGGGAAACAGAGGCAGGTAGATCTCTGTGAGTTTGAGGCCAGCCTGGTCTACATAGCAGGTTCCAGGACAGCCATGGCTACATAGTGAGACCTTGTCTTAAAACAAAACAAAACAAACAAACAACAACAACAACAAAAACACCATCCCCACCAAAGTAAAGTCCAACTGGCTGGTGGTATAGGCCTGTAACCCAAGTTACTTAGGAGACTGAGGCAGGAAGATCTAACCAGGAGGCTGGCCTGTGCTTCACAGTGAGTTCCAGGCCAACCTAAGCAACTTAGTAAGACCCTGTCTCCAAACAAAGTACAAAGAAGGCTAGGGATATAGATTAGGGTTGCAGAGTTTGCCCAGCATGCCTGAGGCCTTAGATTCGACTCCTAGTATTGCCCCCGACCCCCTCAAAAAGTGAAGCTCATGGTGTGTAACTTATATCTCACTAAATAAAACCACACATATGACTCCTGTTCCGTGTTATTAGACTACACTGTTTCTTGGTACTGGGAAGTGCTAAGACGTGGTCCTGAGTGGGGCCCCCACAGTAACAGTCGGTTGCATGCATGGTTGGTAGCTGGGGTGCTTTAATGGGGGTCCTCGCCCCTCAACGCTGTGGCTCCATAGGGATGGCAGAAATGTCACCAAAGTTCTCTTCCAGGTCCAGGATATCTTGAAGCTTAAAGACAAGCCCTTCTCCCTGGTGCTGGAGGAAGACGGCACGGTTGTTGAGACTGAAGAATACTTCCAAGCCCTAGCAAGAGATACTGTATTCATGGTCCTGCAGAAGGGACAGAAGTGGAAGCCCCCGTCAGAACAGGTGACAGTCTCCCTGGGTAGGGGTGAGTGTTGAGAGCGTGGGAGGAGTCCCAGAGGCGAGCTAACACGGGCTCCTCTTGCAGCGCAAGAAGAGACCCCAGCAATCCCTTTCCCAGAAGCCCACTAAGAAGATCGACGTGGCCCGGGTGACCTTCGACCTGTACAAGCTGAACCCTCAGGACTTCATCGGCTGCCTGAACGTGAAGGCGACCCTCTATGACACATACTCGCTTTCCTATGACCTGCACTGCTACAGGGCCAAGCGCATTGTGAAGTAGGTGGATTGGGACAGCTGGGGACCCGTTGGGAGAGAAGCTAAGGCAGAGGCCCTAGCAGTCTGCCCAAAGCTGAACTCTCTCAGGGGCTGGGTTGGCACTAGGCTAACAAAGAATGACAGCCACATCTAGGAAGGGACCTATCTAAGTGACTTGATTTACATTAGGTGTGCAGAAGGTAATTTAAGATTGAAAGTACATTTTTTTCACCCCCAAAAGTAAATTTCACATAGTTAATGCCCAGTGAACTTTCTTTTGTGTGCTGGAGATAGAACCCAGGGCCACACACATGCTACGCACACACTCATATCCTTAGCTATTTCCACAGCTAGTATTTTTATAAGTGAAAATGTAGTCGGGCAGTGGTGGCACACGCCTTTAATCCCAGCACTTGGGAGGCAGAGCCAGGCGGATCTCTGTGAGTTCAAGGTCAGCCTGGTCTACAGAGGAGTTCCAGGACAGGCTCCAAAGCTATACAGAGAAACCCTGTCCCAAAACCACCATCCCTGCCCCACCAAAAAAAAGAAAAGAAAATGTAACTATAATCCCAGTATTTTGGAGGTGGAAGATTAGGAGTTCAAGGATAGCCTGGGCCAGATAAGACCTTGTCTCAAAAACAAAAATGAAGAAAGGGTACGTACCACTCACCCAGAGGACCTAGGTTTAGTTCCCAGCACCAACTGCAGCCAGCTCACGACCACACGTAGCTGCAGCTCCAAGGGTTATGTCGCCCTCTTCTGACCTCTCTGGGCACTGCACTCAGGTACATAACCCCCACCTCCCACACATACCTATACATGAAAAATAAAAATAAAAATAAGGTAGTGGCTAACATCTTTGATCCCAGCACTTGGGAGGCAAAGGCAGGTGGGTCTCTGTGAGTTCAAGGCCAGCCTGGTCTACAGAGCAAGTTCCAGGACAGCTAGAGCTGTTATATAGAGAAACCCTGTCTGGGAGGGTGGGGAGGAGATAAAGAAAAACAGAGAAATTAAAAGGTGATGCCGGCCGGGCAGTGGTGGCACACGCCTTTAATCCCAGCACTCGGGAGGCAGAGGCAGGCAGATCTTTGTGAGTTCGAGGCCAGCCTGGTCTACAGAGCGAGATCCAGGAAAGGCACAAAGCTACACAGAGGAAACTCTGTCTCAAAAAACCAAAAAAATAAAAATAAAAGGTAATGTCAAACTGTGGTTAGCTGAATGACTTAGTGCTGTTACTGTGATTTTTTTTTTTTTTTTTTTTGATGTGCTAACGGTCAAGTATGATAGCGAACTCATTTAATCCCAGCCAGCATTCAGGAGGCAGAGGTAGGTAGATCTTTCTGAATTATAGACTAGCCTAGTGTACATATCAAGTTCCAGGCCAGCTAGGGCTATACAATGAGACCTCGTCCCCCCAAAAAATTGTGCTACAATCTGCACATCCAGCCTTTTTCTGTTGTGCTCACTTTAAGTGTCTGGCTCGGCAGCATGAAGTAACTGGCCATGTTGTGTAAGCGTCGTCATGTTTCCAGAACCTTTGCACCAGGCAGCAGAAGCTGGGCTCAGGAAGTAATAGTTCTCAGTCCTCTCCTGAGACCCTGCTGACCTCTTCCCTACTTTCTGTTCCTCTGTTTTTGTTTTTTGTTTTTGTTTTTCGAGACAGGGTTTCTCTGTGTAGCTTTGCGCCGTTCCTGGATCTCGCTCTGTAGACCAGGCTGGCCTCGAACTCACAAAGATCCGCCTGCCTCTGCCTCCCGAGTGCTGGGATTAAAGGCGTGCGCCACCACCGCCCGGCCTGTTCCTCTGTTGATGTAGCCGAGACACCTCATAGAAATGGGATCAAACAATGTTTGTCCCGTCATGGCTGGCTTTCCCCGTAAGAATCCTGTTGTCCAGGTTCACTCATTTGTAGAACATGCCCTATTTTCACCCCTTTTGAAGACTGGTTGGCTAGACTCAAAGCCTCAGTGCTCTGATGTGAGAAGTAACTCGGAAGGAAGGCACTGCAGGAAAACACCTATGGAAAGCCATACATGGTGGCCCAGGCCTGAAAATCCCAGCTGCTCAGGAGGTTGAGATAGGAGGATGGCAAGTTAGAGGCTTGCCTGGGCTACGGGGTGAGTTCAAGGCTAACCTGGGCAACTTAGTGAGATGTTGTCTCAAAATAAGAAAGTAAAAAGAAAGCTGAGCGGGCTGGAGAGACGGCCCAGAGGTTAAGAGCACTGGCTGCTCTTCCAGAGGTCCCGGATTCAATTCCCAGCAACTACATGGTGGCTCACAACCATCTCTAATGGGATCTGATGCCCTCTCCTGGCATAAAGTAATACATGCAGATAGAGTGCTCATCTACATAAAAATAAATAAATAAACTTAAAAAAAAAGAAAGAAAAGAAAGCCAAGGCTATAGTTTAATGGTAGAGCACTTGCCTAAGGCCCTCTGTCCAATTCCCTAGTACCACAAAAAGAAACACACACACACACACACACACACACACACACACACACACACACACACGCACGCTTCAATGCTGGGGATTAAACCCGGGGCTTCGTACACACTAGACAAGCACACATGCCACTAAGTTATACTTCCGGCCCTAATACATTTTTTCAGTCTTTATATCTTTATTTCTCTTTTTTATTTCTCTGTGTTGCCCTGACTGTCCTGAAGCTTGCTCTGTAGACCAGGCTGGCCTTGAACTCAGAGATCCACCTGCCTCTGTCTCCAGGGTGCTGGGATTAAAGTGTGTGCCACCACACCCAGTCCGTCTTTGTCTGTACCTGTGTGAGAGTGTGGGCACCCACGTGCCACAGCATGCATTTGGAATGAGAGGACAGCCCAAGGTGTTGGCCTCTTCTTCCACGTTGTTTGAAGCAGGCTTTCTTTGTGGTTTTTCTGCTGTGTATGCCAGGCTTGCTGGCCTGAAAGCTTCAGGGACGTCCCTTATCTCTGCGTCCCATCACAAGACGAGTGCTAGGGTTACAGACACAGGTGACCATACCCAGTTTTACATGGTTCCCAGGTCCTCATGGCGGGATGGAGAGCCCTTTAGACCCACTGAGTCATCAGCTCTGGCCCCTAAATTAAAATACACACACACACACACACACACACACACACACACACACACACACACACATACACACACACACACACACACACACATACACACACACACACACACATATACACACACACATACACACACACATACACACACACATACACACACACATACACACACACATACACACACATACACACATATATATGTTTTTTTGAGACAGGGTATCACTATGTAATCAGAGCTGTCCTGGAATTTGCTTTGTAGACCAGGCTGGCCTTGAACTCACAGAGATCTCCCTGCCTCTGCCTCCCAAGCACTGGGATTAAAGTTGAGCACCACATCCAGGTTTTTAGTTCAATTTTTAAATATTTTATTTTTACTGTGTATGTGTCTCTGTGTGTGTGTGTGTCTGTCTGTCTGTCTGTCTGTGGGAGAGTTTGTGCATGTGAATACAGATGCCTGCTGAGGCCACAGGCGTCTGATCCCCTGGAGCCGGTGTTACAGGTGGCTGTGAGCCTCTGTCATGGATGCCAGGAGCCCACTGAGTCCTCTACTATAGCAGCACAGGCTTTTAACCACCATGCCACCTCTCCAGCCCTCAAATATGCCTTATGTGAGCTGCTTATGGTTCTAAGTGTATGTCTACTCCCCTTGAACCCACCTGGAGCTTAAATCCACATATTGAATAAAGGTTAATAGAAGTTAATTTAAAAACATTTATATATTTAATGTGTACATATGTATGTGTATGAGCACATGCCTGCCATGGCATAAGACGACAGGTTGTCTCTCTTTAAAAGATTACATTTATTTTATTTGTGTGTGTGTGTGTGTCTGTCTGTTCCCGTGTGTATCTGAGCTCACTGGCCCAGAGCTTCCATATGGCCTGAGTGTGGCCCTCAGAGGTCAAATTTTGAGAGGCAGTTCTCTTCCACTATGCGAGTCCCTGAGATAGAACTCAGATTACTGGGGTTGGCAGCCACAAGTATCTTTACTGAGCCATCTCGATGGCCCTGAGAAGACAAGGTTAACACTTAGGCAGCAGTGTTTCTTAGACCAGTAACCCCTAGTGAGCCTCCCCGAACCCTCGTAAATAGCTGTGGGAGAACTTGCATTCAGCCAGCTGCTCTTGGCTTCATTTCCCATTTTCTGTACATCAGACCACATGCTGAGTGCTTCACATTATTTCAAACTCATAACCCATTTTACGTGTCTTGAAGCTGGAGTTCAGAACCTCAGAACCAGAGCAGTTTAAAGGGTTTTTGTTTGTTTGTTTGTTTGTTGTTGTTTTTTTGAGACATGGTCTCATGTGTCCCAGCCTGGCCTCACACTTGCTATGTAGCCAAGGATGACTTTGAACTTCTGGTCCACCTGCTTCTGCCTCAGCAGTGCTGGGAGTCCTAAGTTTACAGTCCTGTATTACCACACCGGGTTTGCGGCGCTGGGGATCAAACCCAGGGCTTTGTTCATGAAAGGCAAGCACTCTACTAAATTAGCTTCGTCTCCAGTCCTTTGAATATAATAGTGCTGCGCCTTTAATCCCAGCCTGGTCTACAGAGCCAGCTCCAGGACAGGCCCCAAACTACACAGAGAAACCTTGTCTTGAAAAACCAAAAATAAATAGATAAACAAATAAATAAATAAAAAGAAAGAGAAAGAAATCTAACTTGAAGCCAGCTGTTTCAGTCCAGCATAGAAAAATTGAGAAAACAGCTGGAGGGAGGGTGGGGAGTGTTCTCTAGGTCTGACCTGCATGCCTTGCTGTCTGCCTCCCAGGGAAATGCTCCGCTGGGCCCTCTTTAGCATGCAGGCCACAGGCCACATGCTGCTTGGCACCTCCAGTTACATGCAGCAGTTCCTGGATGCCACTGAGGAAGAACAGGCTTCCAAGGCCAAGACCTCCTCCCTCCTCCCCGCCTGTCTGAAGATGCTTCAGTGAAGACCTAAGTCCTCCGAGGCCTTCCCCAGCCAAGGATGTGACGGGGGACCCTGCACTCTGCTTAGACGCACCCACAAGCCTGGCAGCTGGAGAGCGTCTCACCCACCTGCACCTCTCTCACAGCACCAAGGAAACCGCAGGAAGGGCTGGAGCCCTAGCGTGGGCTTGTCACAGGAGAACTTCCTGGCCGGGCCCAGTTCCTGCCTTCCTGTCGCAGGTAGCTTTAGGGGACCAGCATTTGTCCCTGGCAGGCTGTGGCACAGAGTCTGCCACTCTGTCTTCACATGCTACCCCTATGTGCCACTCCCTCTCTGCTGTCCCCTCCCGCCTTGACCTGGACCATGCTCACCATGCAGCAGACACTGCTGTGGTGACCTCCAGAATACTTTGACGTCACCAAAGACCACAAGATGAACCCCGCAGTGACAGCAAGGCCTATGGTTATGGTGTGGAAAGAGTTAACACTTTGTAGTAGAAGAAAAGGAGTGGGGATCGGGGGGCCTCTCTCCTGAAATCCTAGTCATTCCTCCCTCCAGCCCCCCAGCTGTCCATGATCTTGGGGGATGCTAGAGCGTATAAGAGGTAGTAGGTTAACTAAAGCCAGGGTGACATTGATGCAGATTTTGGGGGGCCCTCACCTGTGTGAGGGAGGGACTTTGGGGTAATGCAAATGATTTGGAGTCACCCAGGCCCCTCCTGAAAGTAACTAGTAAACTCACCGGTTCACCAAGCTGGACTTGGAATGAATCGTGGCTTTGCCTGTCATCGGTGCCCCTCCTGTGGTGAATGGATAGAGTTTATGTCCCCAGGACAGTCACACAATTCCTCCTCTTGTTCTCAGTCCCCACTAATGTATGGTATCAGAGTCTGAAGTAAATTATTTATGCTGATACCTCATCTTTGTCTGTGTTCTTTGTGTGAAACCAATTGCCAACAACAAGCACACTTATCATTATTGGTGTGTGTGTGTGTGTGTGTGTGTGTGTGTGTGTGTGTGTATGTGTGTATGTGGTGTGTGTGTGTCTGTGTATTATGTATGTGTGTATATGTATGTATGTGTGTGTATGTATGTGTGTGTGTGTGTGTGTGTGTGTGTGTGTGTGTGTGTGTGTGTGTGTGTGTGTATGCTGGTATACCAATACCATGGTGCTGGTGTGGAGGTCAGAGGACCACTTTTGCTCCACTCTGGGCTCCAGGGACTGAGCTCAGGTTGTCAGCCTTACACAGCAATTGTTTTGATGTGATGAGCTGTATCAGTGACCCTGTTTGTTCTTCTAGATACAGAGTCTCATGTAGCCCAGGCTGGCTCCAAATTTGTTATGTAGTGGAGGAGGACCTTGAACTTCTGATCCTCTTGCTTCCTCCTCCTAAATGCTAGCATTACAGCTGTGAACCACCACGTCCAACTTACATGGCACTGGGGATTGAACCCAGAACCCAGGGCTAACAGAATGCTAGGCAAATGCTCTACCAACTGAGCTACATCCCAGCTCTGTTCCTTTTTAATGTTGTGAGATGCAACAAATAAATACATGTTAAAATAAAAATCTGCAGTTGGTTTTTGAGAATTGCCACATTTGATATTTAGGCAGACCATGTAATCCTTGTATGTGTTCATTTCTGAATGAAATTTGCCTGTAAGGTGGATCAGACCACTCTTGATTCCCGACTGTTGTATTTTATGATAAGCTTTCTTGTGTTCAGGTTGGAAGGTCCTAGTCCGTCTACAGGGCGGTATCAACGCCTGTGCCAGCTTGCTCACAGTTCCCTGTCTATGCTCAGCATCTCCACCCTCAGGATGGCAAGGCGGGTCTCTAGCACAGGGACCCCAGCACTGCAAAAACAAACCAGAGACCTCTGAGGAGGAGGAGGAGTAGTCAGGTCTTCTCAGAGTGAGCCCCAGTTTTTTTTAAACATGAGTCTTTTTTGGCCACAGCTACTTGAGGGGGATGAAGCTGGAGGAGTGGGTGACACCAATACCAGGCTGGCTGTGCTTCACGGACTTGTGGGTTATGGAGAACTTGCCCGGGTAGTGGCCGATCATTTCTGGTTAGATTTCCACCTGGTTGAAGGTCTTGTGGTTGTACATGCCCACCATGCTCCCTACCATCTCAGGGAGAATGATCATGTCCCTCAGGTGGGTTTTCACCTTCTCCAAGGGTGGCGCCTCCTTCTTGGCCTTTCTCAGACGCTTGAGTATCAAGTACTGCTTCCGCCACAGGCCATGGTGAAGGTGCCATCTCTGGGGTGCTGTACAGCTGCATCAGCTGTTTATCAACTGTCCAGCCGTTGGTCCAGGTCCACCCTGCAGTAGGTGAACTTGCAAACGGTCCATTTTTTCTTCTGCTCCACTTCAGCCATCTTGGCGGCTGCTCAGAAAAGGGGCCCCCAGTTTTTAGTGATGGGTAACCGACCTAAGCGGTAAAGAGTAGGCCTGCAGGAAGTCAGGCTTCAGCCTGGCTCTCAGATCCAAAGCTAACATAATTTCACAACCCTCCCTATAAAGCTTATTTGGATTTAGAAAACACTAAAGCAAAGGGCCAAGCTCCTCAAGCTTGTCTGGAAAGCCATTGCTGGCAGCTGCCCCATGCCTGGAGCCAAGTGTGAGAAGAGCAGCCAAGGGCAGGTCAAGTGCACTTTCTGTTCTGGGCCCTCACACAGTTATAGATGTGGTTGGAGGCTGGCTCAGTACAGGCTGGCTCCAGGGCTTGGCCTTCTGGAGGGCTGGTTTGCATCAGTCCTGTTTCCCATTGCTGAAGGGCCCGCCTGTCCACACCTGCTGCAAAGTTGTGACTGAGCCAGAGGGGGCTAATGCAAGCTGGTGTTTGTCCCCGGCCTCTTCTCCTGGGGTCGAGTTTCACAAGTTCAGCAGTTGACTGTGGCTGCCACCTGGCACTGAGCCCTGAGCCCGGGCAAAGTTTGGCTCCTCCTCTTCTTCCAGGAGCTCGGGGCCCACTGGAATGAAGGTAGTTATCTGTGGGAAGGGAACAAGAGAGGGCAGCCTGCCATGGGGCATCGAGGGGGACCAAGAGTAAAGGAACTATAGCCTCTAGAGGGCCGGGCGCTGGTCCAAATGGGGAAACGGCCTTTCCTGGGGCTAGACACTGTTGGTGGAGGAGACGTCTGCTCAGCTGAGTGGGCCATGAACCAGCCTTTCGCTCCTCTCTCTCTCTCTCTGTCTGTCTTTCTTCCTTTTCCCCCTTTCTACTTTCACACAAATACATACATACATACATACATACATACATATATACACAAAAAACCCAAACACATATTTTGTTTTTGTCTTTGTTTTGTTTTGTTTTTTTGACATGTATTGGCATGCACATGCCGTAGCACAAAGGGTAATGGACAGCTTGAGGAGTTGGCTCTCTCCTCCCTCCATGTGGATTCTGGGGATCAGACTCAGGCTGTCAGACCTGGCATCAATCCCCCTTACTGGCGGAGCCATCTCACTGACCCTCGTATATATTTTAGACAGTTACACGTAGCTCAGGCTGGCCTCAGACTTTATGTAGCCAAGGATGACTGTGAACTGATTCTTCAGCCTCCACCTCTCCAGTGCTGGGATTTGAGCGTGCACTTTGCCTCATCTGTCCTGAGTCCTTGCTCAAGCTGCGTCTGAGATGCCGAGGAGACCTCCCAGAAGGCTTCAGGAATACCGCCTGTCTACAGCAGCAGTCCCACACTCCAGGTGGAGACAGACAAGGTAAAGCCACTTGCTTTTTTTCTTTCTTTTTTGCCAAGTTTGTCCCCAGCCCCTCCTGTGTTGCGCGTATAACACAGTCCTGTCGTCCTGACTGTCTTGGAACTCGTAGAACAGGCCGGCCTCAGAGTCACACGAGCCCTGCCTGCCTCTACCTCTCGAGTGCTAGCATGAATGCCCTGTGCCACCAGGCCCAGATATATTCTTTAAAAGTTGTTTTTAGCCGGGCAGTGGTGGCGCATGCATGCCTTGAATCCCGGCACTCAGGAGGCAGAGACAGGCAGATCTCTGTGAGTTCGAGGCCAGCCTGGTCTACAGAGTGAGTTCCAGGACAGGCTTCAAAGCTACAGAGAGAAACCCTGTCTCAAAAAACCCAAAACAAAACAAAACAAAAAGCTGGTTAAAAAAAAAAATCTATGACTTTTTTTTTTTTGAGTCAAGAATCTCACACATACTAGGCAAGCACTCTACTACCACGGAGTTATATTCCGGGCCCAACAACAAATCATGGATTGAGGTGTTACAGCTGATAACTGTGCTTGCTGTCAGACTGACAACCTGAGTTCAGTCCCTAGAACCCACACGGTGAGAGGAGAGACTGGATCACACACGCTGCCCTTTGATCTCTACAAATGTACAACAGCATCACCAACACCCCCTCAAAAATAAGTGTTGAAAACAATAACAGATTTAGGGATATGCCTGTAATCCCAGCACTCAGGAAGCAGAGGCTGAAGGATTAACACACATTTGAGGCCAGCCTGGTCTACATAGCATGTTTCACGTCAGTTGGGGCTACGTAGTGTGACTCTGTCTCAAAAAACAAAAACAAAAAGACAGAACCAAAACTTCTGAGATGAATCGTGCAGGGGGCTGGAGAGGCAGCTCAGTAATGAAAGGCACTGGTTCTTCCAGAGAGCTGGGTTCCTTCCCCAGCACCCACACAGTGGCTCACAACCGCCTGTAACTCCAGTTCCAGAGGATCTGATGCTCTCTTCTGGCCTTAGGCCTCAAGCTCGAACATCATATGCCTAGACGTATGCAGACAAAACACTTGTGAACAGAAAATTAAAAATAAATAAAAAGATTAATTATACAGGGTCTGGTCACAGAGCTTATCAGGTAAAGGTGCTTGCTGCCAAGCCTGATGACTGGAGTTTGGTTCCCCAGAATCCATGTTATAGGAAAGAACAGACTGAAAAGCTGTCCTCTGGGCCAGGCGGTGGTGGTGCATGCCTTTTATCCCAGCACTCAAAGAGGCAGAGGAGGCAGATCTCTGTGAGTTCCAGGCCAGCCGGGACTGCACAGTAAGACCCTGTCTTAACAGAGACTGCAATCTATTGGGTGAGGAGGCTCTAGCAGAGTAGCTCACAGCATTGCAGGCTGGAAGTTGATAGACCCAAAACAGAAAGGAGCCAATGTAAGACATAGCCTCCAAGGAGAGCCCCCCACAACAAATGACCTAGTTCTCCAAGCAGACCCAACCTTCCACAGTTCCATCACCTCCCAAGAGCGCATCCAAATTCTGAAGGGTTCACCCACTCATTAGGTCAGAGTTCTTAGGTTCCAGTTGTTCCCGGAAGCCTCCTCATAAACCCACCCAGCCATGTGCTGTGCTGGTAGGCTAGGTATTCCTTCTCTCAAGCAAGGTTCCCGCCTCACTCCTTCTGCATTCGTCTGCTTTCTGTTGCTGTTACAAAACACCTGAAACCAGATGAGGGTGCAGCTCGGTGAGAGAGTGCTTGCCGAGCCGGTGTGGGGCTCGGGATCCATCTGCAGGACTGAAAACAAACCCGCACACAACTGGGACAGCTGCTAATTAGTGTGTTTACATATATGGTGCTGGAGAGATGGCTCAGTGGTTGAGAGCACTTGCTGCTCTTGCAGAGGACCTGAGTTCAGTTCCCAGCCCCACATGGAAGCTCACAACTGCCTGAAACTCCAGCCCTGGAGGATCTGATGCCCTTTTCTGGCCTCTCGGGGCACCTGCAACACATGTAGTATACACTTACACAGACACACAGGCACTTACACATAAACAAAAATAAAGCAAATCACACACACACACAGTTTGATCTGGGTCATGGTTCTTGAGGCTACAGAGTCCAAGAGCATGGAGCCAATACCTACTTAGCACATGCAGGGGACTTTTGGGTGCACCCCAATATGGAGAAGCTGTCTCATGCTGAGACATCTCTTTGCTCTCCTCTCCTTCTTAGAAAGCTGTCAATACCATCATGGGAGCACTCCCTTCATAATCTTTTTTTTTTTTTTTTGGTTTTTGGAGACAGGGTTTACCTGTATAACAGCCCTGGCTGTCCTGGATCTCACTTTGTAGCCCAGGCTGGCCTCGAACTCACAGAGATCTACCTGGCTCTGCCTCCCAAGTGCTGGGATTAAAGGTGTGCGCCACCACCGCCCAGCTATGAATCTTTTTTTTTTTAAAGATTTATTTATTTATTATGTATACAGAAGAGAGTGCCAGATCTCATTACAGATGTTTGTGAGCCACCATGTGGGTGCTGGGAATTGAACTCAAGACCTCTGGAAGAACAGTCAATGCTCTTAACCTCTGAGCCATCTCTCTAGCTCCCCCCACCCCTGCCAGCTATGAATCTTAATGTAAGTATCTATTTTCTGATGGTCTTAGGCAACCCCTGTGAAAGGACCATTTGACACTCCCCCCCCAAAGGGGTCGTGACCAGCAGATTGAGAACTACTGCTCTAAACAGAGGAAGAGAGAGGGATTATTGCATCCCTCTGATTCCTCTGCCAGAAGCAACAGTCTAGTGCTGGAATCCTTTCAGCAAAGCCCTTTCAGGCCTGGGGATGTAGTTTAGTACGTGATGGGATTAAAGATATGTGCCACCATGCCCCACTGTTTTTTCAAAAAAGACACTAGTTTTATTATTTTCAATTATATTACTTCATTATTTTTACTATGTGCATATTGTTACTTTTTTGTATTTTATTTCTTTTGGGGCTTTTTTTTTTTGTTGTTGTTTCAGGGTCATGTAGCTCTGGTTGTCCTGCAACACACTGTGTAGACCAGTGCTGGGATTAAAGGCCCAGTCTGTGGGCCTTTAATATATGTGTGTGTGTGTGTCTGTTTGTGTGTGAATTGGATCCCTTTGAACAGGGGTTACTGGACAGGTGTTACAGGAAATTGTGAGCCTAAGGATGTGGGTGCTGGAAACAGCAAGCGATTTAACCACTGACCCATCTCTCCAGCTTGTTTTATTTTATGCCTATGAGTGATGTTTTGAGACACAAAGAGCCAGTCTTGATTGTAGGCTTAAAAGCCATCTTATAGTAAAGACAAACTCGGTTCGTTCCTGTTTATAATTCAACCTCTGTTTCTCAAGGATTGGGCTATGCCTCACCCGTAAGCCTAACTACAAATGGGTCTTTGCAGCCTATTCCGGGAAACGCCAAACATGTCTGTTTCAAAAAGTTAATCACCATCTTGCAACCCTGTCTTTGCCCCTTCCTTCTTCCCTCCCTCTCTCTGTCTCTGTGTAGCCCCGGCTGTCCTGGAACAGGCAGGCCTGGACCTCAGTAACCCGCCTTCCTCTGTTGGTCTCCAACCCAGTCTGAATCTGTGATCTTGGTCTTCGTGTGGTGCTTGGGGATCGAACCCAGGAACTCGTGCATCCTCGAAAATCTCTCTACCACCTGAGCCACAGTCTTGGGACATTTTATGTTGAAGACTATTTCTATGCAGGTGTCCTTCCTCCCTCTGCTTTACAAGGGAGGTTTTCAGATTAAGGGTCCCGAGAACTGAAACGACAATCTGCAAGCTCGCCTCTTTCTAGTCCAAGACACATCCTCTACCGCGAGTAAACATGCCAGCCTCGTGCCTCAGTTTTCCCCAAAGCTGGGCCCCAACTGGCACTTTTCCTTCCCTCCTCGGAGCTCCGCCTGCTCGGTGTTCTGATTGACAGCCTGTCTGACCAATCGGCGCATGGAGGGTGCACGTGGTAGGCAGTCCCGTGGACACGCATGCGTCTGTGCTTTGCTCCGGTGATGGGTTCCTGGCGTGTTTGGCGTTGGGTCTCTGGGGCCTGGCGTCCCGGGCTGGGGGTTGGCGCACGGCCGAGAGATGCAGGCTTCGGCACCGAGGCCCGGTGATTCTAACACTCCACTTCGGTGTAGGCAGGAGGCTAGGGCAAGGGGAGGTCCGGCATTCAGATCCGGACATGGGTTCTAATCCCAACTGTGTTGTGGGACCCGACCGACATCCTTGGCGCTCTGAGCGTCTGATGCCTCTTCTGTAGTCTTGGGGGGCATGTGGGCCTCAACTGTCAGCTGAGCCCGGGAGTTCTGAGGCTTTTGTAAGAAAAGGCTGCACTGGGCAGGATGGGCAGAGGAGGTACCGGTTTCTGTCATTTTTCTCAGACGTCGGCTTCAACCTCAAAGTTCCAACAAGCGCAAGAACCCAGTGGAGGACCAGCCCTTCCCGGGGCTGCTGCGGACAGAGAACCTCGGCCCGGAGGAGCTGGCTGACGTGCTGAGGGCAGCTGTGGTGGATCAGAAAGGTGAGGAGAGCCTGCTGCTCCTGAGCCTCTGAACCCCAGGAGTTAGACGCTGTAGCTGCAAGAGCCCAGCCAGCGGTCACATTCCCTCTCCTCGCCTCAGCATCATGGGGACAGGCATAGGAAACCTTCACAATGAACGGCAGTAGCAGAAGTTAGTTTCCTGTCAGAACAAGCTTTGGGATTTGTTAGAACTGGGGTCTGTCTGTAAGCAGCATGCTGTGTGCCTTTAGGAATCACAGTTGATCTGAACCTCTCAGTTCATGTAGCAATGAGGAGGGTACATACACAGTACTGGGATAAATATAGCTCCTGCTTTGAGAGATCAAGCGTTCTGATGTGAGAAATAATGAGTCTCTGCTGTTTCTGGGAGTGGTGACCACACCTGTAATTCCAGAACTTGGGAGGTAGAGGCAAGGAGGATCGGGAGTTCAAGACCAGGCTTAGCTATGTAGCGAGTGTGAGGCCAACCGGTTTTAGCACACATTATACTGAGGTATGTTGGAGCCCAGAACAGCAGGTGCAAAGGCCCTGGGGTGCAGGGAGCAGGAAGTTCAGTTTGGCACTTACAACCCCTGAGGCTGCGTGCACACAGGCTGCCCTGCTTTTGCTGACATCCATGGAATCTTTCAGGACCTCTGGTGACACTGAACAAGCCACAGGGTCTGCCCGTGACAGGTATGGGCAGGGACGAGGAGGGAGAGGCTGGCAGGGAGGAAATGGTTGGATGGTGCTCTGGCAACTTGCCCTCTCCCCTTACTTCTCAGGGAGACCTGGGGATCTGACGTTACTTTCTGTACTGCCACAGCTGAGCCGGGCCCTGGGGCTCGGACACCGGGAACTCCAGGTTGTGAGAGCGCCTGGAAAGTAAGTGATGAGTGCGGTGAGCATTTTACACCCATTGTATATCAAAGTCCTTTTCAGGTGCCTGGCACGTGGCAGACACTCGGGCATTGGTAGTAACTCTTAGGGCGTTTGGCTCTGAGTTCTCTGGGGGCCAAAGGCCTTATGATTTTTTTCTCAGGAGATCCGGACTGTAACCCTGGCATTGCTGTTTGGCTTTAAGCTGGTGATCCTTTGGGGAGGTGTGTGTGGGGGGGGTCTCCTTTTTTTATATATACACTTTTTTACTTTATGTGCATTGGTGCTTTACCTGCATGTATGTCTGTGTGAGGGTCTCAGATCCCCTGGAACTGGAGTTACAGTTGTGAGCTACCATGTGGATGCTAGGAACTGAACCCAGGTCCTCTGGAAGAGCAGCTAGTGCTCTTAACCGCTGAGCCATCTCTCGGCCCCTTGAGGGTCTCCTTTAAAAAGACCCAAGATTTGGGGTTGTTTTTTTTTTTTGGTTTTTCGAGACAGGGTTTCTCTGTGTAGCTTTGCGCCTTTCCTGGATCTCACTATGTAGACCAGGCTGGCCTTGAACTCACAGAGATCCACCTGCCTCTGCCTCCCGAGTGCTGGGATTAAAGGCCTACGCCACCACCGCCCGGCCCAAGATTTGTTTTTAATGTGTGTTTAGCCTGAGTGTATTTGCGTGCCCCTCGGTGCATGTCTGGTGCCCCCAGAGGCCAGAAGGGGGCATCAGGTCTCCTGGAACTGTAGTTACAGTTGTGACCCACCATGTGGGTGCTGAATGCTGGCCCTCATTTTTTTTTTTTTTAAAGATTTATTTTATTAGGTATACAGCATGTATGACTGCAGGCCAGAAGAGGGCACCAGATCTTGTTACAGATGGTTGTGAGCCACCATGTGGTTGCTGGGAATTGAACTCAGGACCTCTGGCAGAGCAGTCAGTGCTCTTAACCTCTGAGCCATCTCTCCAGCCCCGCTGGCCCTCATTTTTATGACCAGGAGGCTTTATGTGACTTGTCCCCTTCTTCCAGGGAGGCCTCTGGACTTGTGCTCCTCTCCAGCTGTCCCCAGACTGCTGGCCACTTGCAGAAGTTCTTTGTTCACTCTAGGAGAACCCGGAGACCCACAGCCACCTACTGGTGAGAGGTGCGGGGTGACCCCCAGGGCCCAGGGAAGTCCCCGCCGGCGGCTCTGAGACTTCCTTTCCCTTTCTTTCTCAGTGCCATCACTGATGGCATCCCTGAGCCTTCTGAGGGGACTGTCCACGTGGCTCTGAAGCTGGAACGCATGGATGGCGTTGATCTTGTGAGTCAGAGGCCACCAGAGAAGAGTCCTTTCAGGTTTTGCCTTACAGAGGAGTCTGTACTGTGCACATGGGGTGGCTAGTTCCCCTGTCCCCTAACAGGCAAGTGGCTGCTGCCTGTTCTGAGGCCCTGTCCTAAGTCAGCTGGCAGCAGGGGTGCTCGGTGGGGCTCCTAGGCGTGTGCTAAGTCATTCTTGACCGGCACCCTAGGCAGTCCCGGTGACATCGCCATCTCGAAAGGACATCCTAGAAGGTGTCAAGAGGACCCTCAGCCATTTCCACGTGATGGCCACAGGCTGTGGCTGTGCCCTGGTCCAGCTGCAGCCACTGACAGGTGGGTCTGAACAGTACCCTGCTGGGGAGATAAAGCCTGTGTGGAAGATGGTGCTTGGTAACATCCAGAGAGCATCTTGGTGGACCCCAAGGGGGTGTGAGTGGGCTCATCGGGAGGCAGCAATTTTAGGTGTCCACCCACGGTCTAGCACCCAGCACACATCCTCATCCCCAGGCTAAGTGGGTTGTCAGCCGTCCTTGTCCTGATCTGCTCATGAGCCTCTCTGTGGAGGCAGAGGTCACCTCGCAGATCCCCAGGCTCTACGAATGGGAACAGTCCTTCATGGTCAGGAAGAGCAACTGCCTCCCACCCATCTTTCAGTGTTCCCCAGTCAGCTGCAGGTGCACATGGCCCTACAGCTCTGCCCAGTGCTCGGGGACCATACCTATGCTGCTCGAGTGGGCACCGTCCTGGGCCAGCGCTTTCTGTGGCCAGCCGAGACCACCAAGCCCCAGACACAGGTAGGTCCTCGGGCCCATATGCTTATTCCATGTTTGGAGGGTTAGAGGGGCTGGCTTGGCCTTTGGGGCCACCTGTGCCCCTGTGGTGCCATGTGGCTGGGCAAGTGTCATACTCCCTCAGGCTTCCTTCTGTTCATGAGCTCGAGGGCAGGGGCGAGGTAGCTGACCCCTAACAGCCCTGAAGTCCACTATCCTTTTGAGCGGGTTTGTGCATCATTTCTTCTTCGAGTTAAGTTAGAGAATGGGCGTGCGGTAGGAGTGGGCCTGGCTCTCCACTTGGAGACAAGGGCTATGGCTTTCTGGCCGGAAGAGGAGACTGGAAGTGAGGCTTCTCCTCACATCCCACTGGCCAGAGGCTTAATCACATGACTTCACTGAACACACCAGGGAGGTCCATCAGAGCTGGGTGCTCCTCTGGCTGGAACTGGGATGGGCTGCTGTCTTCCCACCCCAGGTCCTGGATGAAGCTCTCCTCAGACGCCTCCACCTGCGTCCTTCCCAGGTGGCCCAGATGCCCCTGCACCTGCACCTGCACCGCCTCCTCCTCCCGGGCCCCAGATCCAGGGACCCACCCAGGGAACTTCTGGCACCGCTGCCCTCCTACTTCTCTCGGTCCCTGCGGTGCCTACGGCTCTCCCAACAGACAGTGCTTGACCCCAACTGGAAAACGGAAGAGGAAGGGCTGTGACCCAGCTCAAGGACAGTGGGGTTGGTGCTGAGCACAAGGTCCTAAGATCAAATCTCAGTTAGGCCACTTGCTTGCTGTGCGGCGCTGGGCAGGTGATGTCTCTCTGGACTTAAAATAATAAAAGTCCTACCTCACAAGCCTGCTTTTGAGGATCTTCTGAGAAAGCAAATGTTTACCAGGGACTGTGCTCTCTGCTCAAGTGAACAATGGCCAGGTCTGGAGGTGGTGTCTACCGTACTCCTGGCCAGGAGGAGGTTTGTTTGTTTTTGAGACTGGGCTTCTCCATGTAGCCCTGGCTGGACTGGAGCTCAGAGATTCACCTGCCTCTGCCTCCCAAGTACTGGGAGGACAGGCAGGCACCACTGTACAAGCGTGAGCTCATCTGAATTTGAAGGACACAGGTCATTGAATTTCAACACTCCCCACTCCACCCTGCACACATTCACAGGCTACAGATAGATACCGATTTTGGAGGCCCAGCAGCTAGGGCTCTACAGGTGGGAAATGCCACACTTGACTTGTGTCTTAGGTCTTACAGTTTTAGGTGGCTTGACCAATCCCTCGCTGAGGGAAGGAATAGACATACTCTCTGGAGAGGGGCTGAGGTTTAGGGAAAGCCCATCTCTTGTCATAATGTTCTGTGCCCATCAGAAGCTCTTCTGGCAGCCCAGCTTGTCTTTGGGAAGGGGCACTCCTGATGGCTGACCTTCCAGTTTCCTCATCTGTATAGTGAAGGCTCTTTCCCCAGGCACCCCAGTCTTCCTGCAGAGGAAGCTAATGTCTGTCACTGGGTGGGGACTGTGGCCCTTGCTGATGGAGGCCCTGCTGGTCAGCTCTTGTTACGAGCCTTGCCTCCCATTAGTCAAGCCAAACCCAGAGAACTTTACTTGCTTTTTTAATTTGATGCTGGATCCAGGATGGGGCAGTGGAGATCAGAGCAGGGGGTTCTCTAGCCTCCTAGCCCCCATGATCCTCCGTCTCCGGCATGTCAAAATAAGGGTCAAGGGTTTGGGGAGGCTCAGCCTCTTCTCGGGGTAGGCCTCAGCCCTGGGTTTGTCGCAGAGTCTGGCCTTGAACTTGCCTTTGGCCTTGACTTTCCTGTGGGTGCTAGGAAGAGGTCCAACTCCAAAGGGCATTGGCCACAAGGCACTTCCAAAGTGGGGGCCTCCAAGGTGCCGGGGAATAGCAGCCTCGGTGTAAAGGAGGGGAGGGAGAGAGAGATGATCAGGCCTCTGTCTTGGAACAGGGTTCTGGACAGGACAAGCCCTTCCCTGGGGCACTGTATTGTCTGGGCGATGCCCTCTGTCTGTGCCCTTCAGCCCCGATCCCACTGCTCAGCACTACCCGCCAGGGTGTGAGGCCCAGCTCGAGGCCCACCTGTCCTGGCTTCAGCATGCTGGGTGCCAGCTTGAGATCAGGGTGAGGTGGGAAGGACACCAGAACCTTGGCAGTAGGTAGAGTCATCAAGGCCTTGCCTGTGGTTGACAGAGCCTTAGAGCCCACCAGCTGGCCATGCTGCAGTCTGAGGACCTGGCCCTGGGGTCGGAGCACGCAGGGAGAAGGCAGCCAGGCCTTGGAATGGAGACTAGGGAAGTGGGGAGGGGCTGTGGGAGAAGGGAAGCCGTGAGGGTCTGGGGAAGGCCCCAGCCTGACCAGTTGTTCCACAGGGCATATGCAGAGGTGGGGGATGGGAGGCGAGGGCAGATGGAGCCCCTCCCAGCTCCTCCTCCAGAGGCAGTGGGAAGAACACAGGGTTGGGGAACCAACAGACCTGGGTCTGCATCCCAGCTCTGCCCCTTCTGAGCTGTGCAACCTCGGGCAACGTCCTTAAACTTCCTGCTACCTCGGCTGGAAAATGGGGACAATAGCACCTATCTCACTAGGCTGTTGTGAGGGCTAAGGGGGCTGGTTAGGGATCAGGAAGGGCACGATGGTAGCACCTTTCCCCAGAGAAGTGTGAGGGCAAAGGCTGGCTAGAGCAGCAGCCAAGGTCTGGAGTCCAGGGACGCGCACTCTAGGACCAAGCCGTGGCATCTTCTGGTCTAACTGCCTGGCAGGGTGACTACTTTGGAATAATCATTTGGTTGTATATTTAAAGATATTTGGTGAGCAGTGTTCATACTCGCTATCACTGGTGGCCTTTTGGCAGGAGGGCAAGCCCAGATGCTTGGGAAGGGCTTGCAGAGGAGGCAGAAGTGGCTTTGGGAGCACTGGGGTTTGGGGGGGACATTGGATTACCCCAGGCCTCAGGCTGTTTCAGACACAGTGACCTGTTGAAAATGTGGCCCACCCTGATTTCGGGGGGCTCCCACTTCTGGAGGGTGAGGCAGACCAGGGCTGTGGCACTTTTTGCCTTGCCTTTCTTCCCCTTTCCGGGGACCGAGGTGGTGGCAGTAGAGTCTGGCTTCTCAGTGTGTCCCAGGCTCCTGGCCCCAACATCTTTCCTAGAAGCTGACCTGTGGGTAGGGGATCCTGAGTCCTTGCCTTCCCCAGAGCCTTGCTGGGTCGGCAGATGAGGGAGTGATGAGCGGACCCCTGTCCGCCGATGACCCACTGCCATGGGCTTCTTGATGGTAGAGCCCTCCACCAGGAGCCGGATACCCACGTACTGGGGCACCTCCACAGCAGGCTGTGGGCAGGAGAGAAAACAAGGCCACCTCAGACACTAGAGATGGCAGTCACACCATCTAGTGACTAGTGACATAAGGCAGAGAGGGATGGAATCAGTTTCTGGAGTGTCTGGTCAGGAGGCACCTCTGAGAAACAGGACGCCCCATCAATTATCCAGGGGTCTAGAGGACCTAGAGTCACAGAGCCCTAGGGATCAGGAAACAAGGGAAGCAGAGAGTCTCAGCCATGCGGACAAAGCACTCAACCCCACTGGTCACCATGGCAACCTCTGGCCTGTGTTAGAATGCAAGCGGTTTCGTGCCATGGGCAGCCAGAGATGATAGATTGAGCCATGGTTTCCTGTGTGGAAATGTAATTCCCAGGGTGAATACCAAGTAGAGGGATGGGGCTGAAGAGATGGCTCAGCAGTTAAGAGCACTGGCTGTTCTTTCAGAGGACCCAAGTTCAATTCCCAGCACCCACATGGGAGCTCACAACTGTCTGTGACTCCAGTTCCAGGGGATCCACCACCCTCACACAGACATACATGCAGGCAAAACACCAAGGAACATAAAAAAATAAAAGAAAAAAAGAGGGAGGTACAATAACTGCTGTCCTCGGTAGGGCCTCTGAGGGTACAGAAGGGCTTCAGGGTGGACTCCAGCCTAAATCCTAGTAGCTTTCTGAGGAAAGGGAAAGTTACAGGCAGTTGTGAGCTGTCTGATGTGGGTGCTGGGGCCTGAACTTGTGTCCTTGACAAGAGCATCAAGTGCTCTTAACTGCTGAACCATCTCTGCATCCCCAACCTGTTCTCTTGGTCAAACGGTCTGCGGTAGTATGTTACAGCAACAGAAAACCGACAGATACCCAAAGTAGTAACACGTCCCGGGGAGAGATGTTGTGATGGCCCAATGAGTACAGGTCCTTGCTGAGTTCAAGCTCCAGGACCCGCGGGGTAGGAGGAGAGAAGTGACTCCCACAAATTGTCCTCTGACTTCCACATGTGTGCTGTGGCATGTGACTACACATCTACACAAACTCAAACACAACAAAGAACATAAGGAAAACGAAACAAGCTGCAAAGGGAGAACAGAACTTCTAATAGAGATCTCCGGAGGCAGCCACTCAGTCCAAGGTCGAATTTGGCATCAGAAATTAGAGAGTCTGCTGCTTGTGCCTTGTGACAGTCACATGAGGTGCCAGAAATCCCTGAACCTCATCAGCTTGTTAATCTATCTTCTAGTTTACTGGACATTCAGAGAACAGGCTGAGCTGAAGAACTCAAGGAGACAGACAGACAAAACAGAATGTGGGACAGTACTACAGGCCGGCCTGCTGCCTTCCAAGGGTCAGGATGCCCGGAATAAAGCAGCGGAACTGTCCTAGATAAAGGAGGTCAGAGAGACAAGCCACCAGTGTAGGCACCAGATCAGCAATAAAAGATATCCGGGGACAAAGGACATTTGAGAAGTGAGAGTGCCCAGCCATTCAGTTTTGTTTGTTCTGAGATGAGGTTTCATGTAACCCAGGCAGGTTGGCCTCAAGCTCACTATATAGCCAAGGATAACTCTGAACTCCTGATCCTCCTGCCTCAGCTTCCTAAATGCTGGGATTACAGGAATGTGCTGTCATGGCCTGTTCAAATTTTGCTCTCTCTTTTTTTTTTTTTTTTTTTTTGGTTTTTTGAGACAGGGTTTCTCTGTGTAGCTTTGCGCCTTTCCTGGAACTCACTTGGTAGCCCAGGCTGGCCTCGAACTCACAGAGATCTACCTGGCTCTGCCTCCCAAGTGCTGGGATTAAAGGCGTGCGCCACCACCGCCCGGCAAATTTTGCTCTCTTTTAAACTGCGAATTACTTCCTCTTTCCCATCTCCCCTCTTCTCTTCCAAGACTACATTGGTTTTTTTTTTTTTAAAGATGTATTTATTTATTATGTATACAGTGTTCTGCCTGCATGCATGCCTGCAGGCCAAAAGAGGGCACCAGATCTCATTATAGATGGTTGTGAGCCACCATGTGGTTGCTGGGAATTGAACTCAGGACCTCTGGAAGAGCAACCAGCAGTCAGTGCTCTTAACCTCTGAGCCATCTCTCCAGCCCCCAAGACTACATTGTTTGTGACAGAATCTCATTATAAAGCCCTGGCTGAACTGACATTTGCTATATAAACCAGGCTGCTTGTGAACTTGTGACAATCCTCCTGCCTCTGTTGCCCAAGCACTGTGATTACAGGTATATGTGTACACCTGCTTTACTTTTTTAAAGCTGCAGGTGTAGCTCAGTAGTATTGCACGTGCTGAGTACGCAGGCCTGGAGTCCATCCCTGACACCTACTGATGATAGCCCTAACAAAACTGAACCCTGCTCTTTCCGCCATCTTGGTGCCGGTGAAGGCCTGCTGGGAACAGGACTTCTAAAAGGCAAATATGTCTGGAAGGCTTTGGTGCAAGGCCATTTTTGCTGGCTATAAACGAGATCTCCGGAGCCAGAGAGAGCACACAGCTCTTCTTAAAATTGAAGGTGTTTATGCTCGAGATGAATTCTACTTGGGCAAGAGATGTGCTTATGTATATAAAGCAAAAAACAACACAGTGACACCTGGAGGCAAACCAAACAAAACCAGAGTGATCTGGGGAAAGGTAACCCGGGCCCATGGAAACAGTGGCATGGTTCGTGCCAAATTCCGAAGCAACCTTCCTGCAAAGGCCATTGGACACAGAATCCGTGTCATGCTGTGCCCTTCTCGGATTTAAACTAATGAAAGTAAATAAATAAAAGTGGATTTGTTAAAAAAAAAAAAAAAAAAAAAGAAAAAACTGAACCCTGTTGCCAGCACATTATTCTAAGATGATCAGGAGCTGTAAGAAACATGTGGTCAGTGTTTTCCCTTCCTGTAGCAATCCTAGACCTTGGTGAATCTTAGCTGCAAGACTCTTACTTAAAAATCATTCTCAGAATTCAGAAACCCTTAAAAACATTCTTTTAAAGTTTTGTTTGTTTGTATGGTTGTTGTTTTTTAAGTAGGGTCTCACTCTGAAGCCCAGGCTAGCCTGGAATTCACTATGTAACCCTAGCTTCCCTTGAACTCAAAGTGATCAGCCTTCCAAATACTATGGGGTGGGAGGTGGGAGCCCCATGTCCAGCTGTGATGGCTAATCTAAGTTGTCAACTAGACTGGACTGAGGAAACCTAGGATTTCTGTGAAGCATGCCCCTGGTGTGTCCGTAAGGGTGTTTCTAGAGAGAATTAGACCACGAGGCTTTGAGCTAATGTGTGACTTCAGGCAGTGGTGCAGTCAGAATTCTAATAAACTGCTGGAGTTTGCAGCACTGGGGAAAACGGGCCTTGGTTAGACAGTTTATTTCCAAGCTGGGTGTGATGACTCATACCTATAATCTTAGCACTTGGGAGGCTTGAAGCAGGAGGAATGCCATGAGTTTCAGGCTAGCCTGGGCAACAGCATAAGTTCTAGGCTAGCCTAGGCTATACAGAGTAAGCCCTGTCTCAAAAAACTAAAAAAAAAAACAAAAAAACAAAAACAAAAAAACACCCAAAGTATTGTTTTTGGCTGAATAATAGACAATCCTATACTTATTATAAACAAGCAAGATCAATCTGCTTTTGGAAGAAGATGAGTAACACAGTAATAATCATTATTATAACAACAATAACAGACACTACTAATTGACTCTTGATAGGCCTTGCAGCTCATGGAGCTCCCAGCAGCCTTACTGGGCAGAGACAGTACTAGCTAAAGCGGTCCTGTGTCCTCCGGCTAGGCACCCTAGCAAATCCCCGTGTGAAGATCAAACTACTTCATTCTTACAGCACACAAAGGAGGAGCCAGGTACCATCTTACTTCACAGACGAGGGAATGAGGCTATTACCTAGAGGCTTCAATTGGAAACTGAACAGACCCCAGAACCTCTGAAAATATTTTCGTGAATACGAACTCATGGCATTAATGGCTCTCAGAGGACAGTAACCTCCACAGATGAGGAGACAGGCCAGAGGGACATGTCTATGTTAAGACATCCTGTGGGGTCAGGCCAAGAACACAGGCCTTGAACTGTGTCTCACAGCAGACGCCAGGGCTTTGCTGCGGGGTTGCCTGTGGAAGGTGCTAGAACATCTCACCTGTTTATAGATGAGCTCAAAGGCTCCTGTGTCACAGGTGCGATCCAGTCGCCGGTCGATGACCACACGCAGGGTATCTGCTTGCACACCTGCACAGAGGCGGGCGGTGACAGCTGTGGATGGTGCCATGGTGGGGCTGGCATTGATCTCAATCAACCAGGGCCGGAAGTCTTCCCCAAACACAAAGTCGGCCCCATAGAGCTCAAAGCTGGCCTTCCGGCACTGCACAGTGTCTTGGGAGGTCTGCAGGGCATGGATCACAGCAGCCTTCATGCCAGGTACAATAACACTAGCCCAGGCATTTGGGGCGCCCAACTCCTGCAAGTGGGCCTGAAACCTTTGGCTGGACCACATGTTGTCCGGGGGCAGCATTGGGTGCCGGTGACAGGAGGCCTCCAAGTGTTTCTGGATGGAATTGTTACACAGGTGCACGGAGCTGGAGCGGAGCAGACAGACAAATTCAGTCCTGGAGTCCAGGGCTGCAGGCAGAAATCCTGCTGACAGCCCTCCCAGTGAGCTCAACTGAGATGGGCCTCTGCTGGAAGATCAACAGGACAGAAGCACAGAAGCCGCCCCACCCCCCACCCCCATTCACCTAAGACCAGGGCTATTCCTTTCTCAGAACACTCGGGTGTTGCTGACAGGCCACAGTAACCAGTTCACCCTTCATGTGTGGGGCAGGGAATAAGACAGGGAGAGGGTGGACCCTGGGTGGTCAAATCCCAGCTTCACCAATGACTAGCTGTGAGATCTCAGGCAAATCATTTAACCTGCTTGCCCCGCTCATCTTTAAAATGGCAATAACTCACTTCTTTATGCTTGAGAAATGACTGTGGTATCACCCAGCAGAAGCACTTATCATATGTGGAGTGCTTGATGACAGACAGCTAGAGTGTATTGCTGCTCCAGTCTTCAGATGTGGAGACTGAGGCTGGTCTGTTTCTTTGAAATGGTCTCATGTCACCCAGGCTAGATGAAAATTTGCCATGGAGCTGAGGATAACGGTGAACTGATTGTCCTGCCTCTACCTTCCAAGCACTGGGATCACAGGCATCCACTACTGTACCTGGCTTGATTTTGGCTCCTGCCTTAGCCTCCCAAGTTCTAGGATTACAGTCATAAGCTACCACATTTGGCTTGTTTTGTCTTGAGAGAGGTCTTATTATATAGCCCAGGATGTCTCTAAATTCAAAATCCTTCAGACTCAGCCTCCCAAGTGCTGGGATTACAGATGGGACCACTGTGCCCCGACAGAAACGGAGGCTTAAATAGTTTTTCACATCTCTAGAGGAACACAACCTGGATGAGAGGGAATTTGAACCCAGGCCTCATCAAGGTTCCCTCTCATCCCAAGAGCAAACAGAAGCTGCCTTTCCCCTCTCAAGTTTCTCTTAGTCTGCCATTACCCAGACCTACATTTTCTTCATGACACATATCACCTTCTAGTCTGTTAGCCGTGATTACTCAAACTCATTGCTAGGATGTAAGCCCTTGATTAGCTGGAGTTCTTGTTTTGCTCATTTCTGTATCCCAAGGACACCCTCTTGGCAAGCTCCTGCGGTGGAGGATGGGTGGTGGTGAAGAGCCTGCCTCCCTGCCTGCAGAGTCCACAGTTCTGCTTGCCAACTTCCCCCTAGACTGGGCAGTCAGGGGAGGCGGAGGGAAGGCTCACTTGTCCAGGTTCTTCAGGGAGAAGGGCTGTGTGGAGAAGCGGATGTAGCTGTCTCGGTAGAACCACACCGTGAGTGGGTTCCAGTCCGTCACCAGGAACCACTGTCTCAGGTCAAACTTGGTGCCGAAGATGAGCAGGGGCCGCTCGATGTACTTCTGCACAATCCACTTGCCGTCCTTCATGAGCATGGGGTTGCAGTCCACCAGCTTCAGCATCTCCTCCAGGTGGTCCATGCACATAATACCTGAGGGGGAACCCAGGTAGTCAGGGACCAAAAGGCTTGGAGAAGTACCAGAGGACCACAGGTATCCCACCATCCCCACGAATCCAGCCGAACCTCAAGGTTGCCCCCAACCCAGTCAGAACCATCTTTCCTGTAGAAAAGCTAAGAACTTAAGTACTTTTCTAATTAATTGTTTAATAAGCTTTGTTTTGCTATATACAGGTAAAAATTTAACCGAGGGCTGGGGGGCTGGACAGATGGTTAACATTAAGAGCATTTGCTGTTCTTGCAGAGGACCCCAGCACTTGTATGGCAGAACTCCAGTTCCAGGGGACCAGACACCCTCTTCTGGCCTCCATAGGAAGCAGGAACACACACAGGGCACATACATACAAGCAGGCAAAACACATACACATAATAGTAAATAAACATTAGAAAAAATTAAATAAGGGCAAGATGGGCAGTGGGCAAAGGCACTTGTTACCAAGGTTGATCACCTGAGTTCAGTTCTTAGAACAGACCCCTGTAAGTTGTCCTCTGACATTCTTGTGCACATTTAGATACTGTGGACCACGAACATACACCGCTTCCCTCCAACAATGAATAGACTAGGAAACTGAAGGCATACAGAAACCTCCCACTTTGTCCAGGGTGAAGCTAGCTGCTGTGCCCAGATCCTATGCAGAGCTTTCCAGGTTGCATGACTGATCTGTGCTTTGCTTTCACAGGCTCATGGAGCTTGGCGAGGCTGTGGGATGAAGCTGGGCCACCTCACTCTGTTACAACTAAGTCTGGCTACAAGGTCTCACGTCCAAGGACACATGCGTTTTCTTTCCTTTTTGCTTTTCTCATTTCCCTTCTTCTTTCTCTCTTTTTCTTTCTGAGTCAGGGTCTCACCGTGTAGCTCTGATTGGAACTAGCTCTGTAGACCAGGCTGTCCTGGAACTCACAGAGATCCACCTGCCTCTGCCTCCTGAGTGCTGGATTTAAAGGCGTGTGCCACCATGCCCAGCTCGTTCTCCCTCTCTTTTCTTTCTTCCTTTTATTTATTGTGTGACAGGTTATCATGTAGTCCAGGCTGGTCTCATGCTTACTGCCTTGAACGCTGCTTTGGTTTCCACGTTGGATGATAATCTAGTGCCCGGGGCACAGATACACTTTCCTTTTTCTGTTTTTTTTTAAGTTCACTTTTATCTTAAGTGTATAAATGTTTTACATATGTCCATATGCCACATGCGTGCCTGGGGTCTGTGGAGGCCAGAAGAGGATTGGATCCCCTGGAACCAGAGATACAGTGCGGTCACTTTGTGACACCACTCACCTGTACATTGCCATGTAGCTCTTTTTCAATAAAGAGTACCATCATTATAAAATTTCTGTCGCCGGGCGGTGGTGGCGCACGTCTTTAATCCCAGCACTCGGGAGGCAGAGCCAGGCGGATCTCTGTGAGTTCGAGGCCAGCCTGGGCTACCAAGTGAGTTCCAGGAAAGGCGCAAAGCTACACAGAGAAACCCTGTCTCGAAAAACCAAAAAAAAAAAAAAATAAAAAATAAAATAAAATAGAATTTCTGTCTATTTCTCGGGAGACCTTCTATAGTCTTTAAAGGCCAGGCTGATGCTGGACCCTCACGTGTACACAGTAGATCCACTGAAGTGATTCAGTGAAGGTAAGACTCAGAAAAGGTCTTATGGGTAGTGAGAGGCAAAGCAGCCACATCGGTGGGGGACCACCGACCGCACACCATGCAGGTGTGTGCTGCATTTCGCCGTCACCTGACAGACTTCGCACCATCCCCATTTCACAATGGAGAAAACAGGTTCAGAGAGGTGAATCAACTTGTTCAAGGTCACACAGCATATTAGTAACAGAGCTGAGATCCAAACCAGGCAGTGGGGCATTCTGTGCTATTAACTTCCTTCATTTCTAGTGGTAGATAAAGGTACTAAAACCGGAAGAAGATGTTGCTCCCCTACCTCGGCCACGGGACTTGGCTCCTGGCTTCACAATCCAGATGTTTCGATCCCCCTCCATGTCAATCTGGGGTACCACGGCCTGAAGCTGCTGTAGGATGTCTTCACAGCGATGGATCTGGGCCTCTACGTGTCTGAGTTCTGCCCCTTCACTGTGTGGAGACAGTGGGACTTGGGGAGGTTGGGGCCTGAGGCCAGATGAGAGGGTAGGACAACAGGACACACAGCTTCCTGCCCCGCAACTGTGCTCCAACCTGCTTTGGTCATGTCTGCCCCTGAGACACCTAGATTTGTCTTCCTGCTCTCCATTCCCAAATCACCAAGGACCTCTAACCTATCTGGACCACAACCCTCCCCAATTCTACACTCTACCTACTGACACCTTCTTCCCTAAGATCCCAAGGACGGGGCACTCACCAAGCCAGGCTCCCTGCCAGACTCACCCCCCCCACCCCCCCCCACCCCCCGCCCCACTCCTGGCAACAGTCCTCTAGGGAATTATTACTCGGACAGTTTTAGGGAAATGCAAATTGAAGCTGGGAGAGTTAAGGGACCTGCCCAAGGCTACACACCAGGCGGAGTGGCTGAGCCAGGGTGCAAAAGCCCGACTGCTTCACCTAAGCACTCGGGATTAAGAGGCAGGTGAATCTCAAGTTCAAGGCCAGCCTGGTCTACAGAGCAAGTTCAGGACAGGACAGAGAGGGCTACACAGTGAAAACCCTGTCTCAAAAAAACAAAACAAAACAAAAGGATTCTTAGTTTAAGAATGCTGAGCCAAGCTGGGTGTGGTGGTATACTCCTTTAATCCCAGCATGTGAGAAGCAGAGGCAGGCGAGCCTCTTGAGGCCAGCCTGGTCGACAGAGGTTGAAACAAAGAAACAAAAAAAACAAAAATAAAAGGAAAGAAAGCTGAGCCTGAACAGTCACTTTGTCCATGTTAAAATAGGAGAAAACTGCCGGGCGGTGGTGGCCCTCGCCTTTAATCCCAGCACTCGGGAGGCAGAGGCAGGCGGATCTCTGTGAGTTCGAGGCCAGCCTGGACTACCAAGTGAGTTCCAGGAAAGGCGCAAAGCTACACAGAGAAACCCTGTCTCGAAAAACCAAAAAAAAAAAAAAAAAAAAAAGGAGAAAACTAATTCTACAAAATTGCCCTCTGACCTCCACAACACTTGTGTATCTCATGTACACCAATCTAAAAGAAAAGAGCCGGGCAGTGGTGGCTCACACCTTTAATCCCAGAGACGGAGGCAGGCGGATCTCTGAGTTTCAGGCCAGCCTGGTCTACAGAGACAGTTCCAGGACAGCCAGGCCTGTTACACAAAGAAAGCCTGTCTCAAAAGAACAAACAAACAAAAAACAAAGAAAAGAAAAGGTTGCCTTGGAGCTAGGGTATAGCTCACATAGTAAAGCTCTTGCCTAGCATGCCTGAGGTCCTGAGTTCTAGCCCATCCATCACTGTAAAAATGGTAAGCACTGTGGAGCCTGGCATAATAACTAGACAACTGGCTTTTTTCATTTGCCCAGCTGCCAGGACTGCTCTGCACAACACACTTGCTAACCAGATTGGTGAGTTTCCCCTTTCCAAGTAACTTGTGTTGCTAATTTATGCTGGTCCACAGATTACCTATCCTCAGGGACGCTCGAGATGGGAGCCTGGGATCCCGTTTGTTATTTTAATTTTTTATTTTTTTTCTCTTGGCTGTAGTCATGGGACATGGAGGCTTCCTCCTCTTGATTCCAGGCCTCCTTTGAGAAATTCCTTAAATATCCCCAGACACCAGTAAATTTCGCCACGTATTTCATGGGAATCATCTAACTTCTGCCAGCGAATGGGCAAATGAAAAGAGTTACCTTATCCCCACACTTTTACCTAAGCTCCAAACCCTCCCTGATCCTCTTTCTCCTGCCCACTTGCGTTCCTGAACCTAAGAATCTCTGACTCTAAAGAACCGTATCTTTTTTTTTTTTTTTTTTCCGAGACAGGGTTTCTCTTTGTAGCTTTGCGCCTTTCCTGGATCTCTCTCTGTAGACCAGGCTGGCCTCGAACTCACAGAGATCTGCCTGCCTCTACCTTCCGAGTGCTGGGATTAAAGGCTTGCGCCGCTGCGCCCCCCGCCCCCAGCTAAGAACCATATCTTATCTGTTCTCCACTCTGTTCTCAGGTACTGGGTGGGCAGCTAAGCATGGACAGGTCTGGAAGCAGGCTAGGATGCATGCAAATAAGTTTATGATCAGGACCCACATTGGGATCATAATAATCCTGATGGCTCTCTAGCCAGATATCAGTTTACAACCTGCCTTCTGGAGGGTCTTCCTAAAGCTGTCCTCAAACCAGCAAACTATCAAAAAAAAAAAAAAAAAAAAAGTAATTCAAGACACGGAATAAAATCCATCTCTTGTCTCCCAGCGCTCCTGACATTAGGGCTAAACTTAAGCATCTGAAGAGCAAGTTCCTAACCCCACAGGCAGAAGTTTCAGCTGTGGCATTTAAGGTGTACCATGGGAGAAATGAGAAAGCCCATGAACAAAATTGCCAAATGCTGCATAAGGGCTTCCAAGTCCCTGTTTTAGAAGGCCACATGGGCTAGTGCATGCCCAGCTGGGCCATCAATTGAGCCTTGTTCAAAGTGCCACCTAGAGAGATAACTGGTCAGCTGACTGCCCCCGGCACCCAGGGGCATGAGAACATCAAACTAAGACCTCCAGCAGACCTCCTAGGTTTGGCCATGGGCTCACAGGAAACCCAGGATACAGCATGGGGCGATCTGTTTCCTTCCTGTTGGACACTGAGCCACTTACTCAGTCCTGAGGGAGTTTGGGGGTCCTACCTCTCTTTCTCATTTCCCTATTGTTGGGGTATATAAGGGGGCGGCCTTACCCACCTCACCGGACTTAATTGTACTTTCAGGGTTACTTAATAGGAAAAGATTTTCCAGCTAAGGTAGGAGCTTTCATTTCATTGCTCCCTCCATGTGCCTCACTCCAGACCTGTCAATAGTGCTTCTCATGCAGTGACACAGACAGAGCCCTGCTCTCTCAAGTTCCAGAGGACATTAGGATCCACTGCCTTGTCATCAATCCCAGAAGAATGAGTTCTCACCCCACAAGCTTTTCTCTTCCTGATTCTCTCTTCTAATTAACTACTCAGCTAATTGTTACAGGATCATCATAGAGCTGGAGTCCAAGGACTGTCAATTATATACTCAGGTGGTAAGGAACAGTAACAGTTAAAAGGTATTTACATCCCCAGACCCAAAAGTGTCTGGGCTCTGCAAAAACAGACTTTAATATAACCATCTATTACTGTTAAATGCTCTCAACAACTGATCACCTGTGTCTCCTGGATGCTAAACTAATAAAGGAAACAGGTACCTTAAAATAATCTGTCTCTGATAAGTCTTATCTCAGGCAAAAATTAAAAACATGTTCCAGTCGGGCAGTGGTGGCACATGCCTTTAATCTCAGCATTTGGGAGGCAGAACCAGGTGGATCTCTGTGAGTTCGAGGTCAGCCTGGGCTACCAAGTGAGTTCTAGGAAAGGTGCAAAGCTACACAGGGAAACCCTGTCTCGAAAAACAAAACAACAACAAAAAACTGGGGTTGGGGATTTAGCTCAATGGTAGAGCACTTGCCTAGCAAGCACAAGGCCCTGGGTTTGATCCTCAGCTCAAAAAACAAAACAAAACAAACAAACAAAAAAACAAAACAAAAAAACCATGTTCCAATCTCTCTCTCTCTCTCTCTCTCTCTCTCTCTCTCTCTCTCTCTCACTAACACTAACCAATATCAGCAGAGTACAACGTCATGTCATGGTCACTAGCCCAAGACTTTAATTTTCTCATAGCTGCTTCCTTTTTTTTTAATATTTATTTATTTATTAATTATGTATACAATGTTCTGCCTGCGGGCCAGAAAATGGCACCAGATCTCATTATTGATGGTTGGGAGCCACCATGTGGGTGCTGGGAATTGAACTCAGGACCTCTGGAAGAACAGCCAGTGCTCTTAACCTCTGAGCCATCTCTCCAGCCCCCGGCTGTTTCTTAATATGGTCAAATTTTTTCTGAGCTCCAGAGAATCCACCTGGACAGGTCAGCGAGCTCTGGAACCAGCTTGGATCCACCTGGACAGCACCCAAAAGCAGCAGACAACCCCAGGACAACTGGCTACCTCAGAAGCCCCCTTCCCTACCCCCACCAAGAGTCAACCGACGCCCACCAAGTCAGCTGGAAGCAGTTTTTCCGGGAGAAATGACGCCCCTATTTCTGCTCACCCACTTTTTTTATAATAAGCAAAAAGTCTGGACTTTTGTCGTGTCTCGTGACCTTTCTGCCAGGTGACAGCGCACTAATATTTTCTAAAACAACAACCACCCCTGCTCTCTCCCTCCCCAACTCTCTTGCTCACACTAAAAGGTTCTGAGTTCTACATCAAGGAAACCTGTTAAATTCACTATGTTTAACCCAATAGTTCCAAATGTGACAGATCACAAAGCCCCTTTCTGGGACGTCTACTTCCTTCCCATGGGAATAGGCATCCTGTGTCACACAGCGACAAATGGCCTCTAGGATGAAATCTAAAAGCCTTAGATTACTGTTCTGAGTGAACACCTCAAGCCTGTGCTGACTCCACAATACAAATTAGCCTGTCACATACCATTCTCCAAGGTGGATGCTATTTTTTAAATCAATTTTGCATTTAAGAGAAAATTGTTTAGGAAGCTCAGTGATGTTCCCAGGGTAACAGAGCTTAGGAGATGGGAAGAAAAAACTGGAATTTAAGTCTCCTGACAACCCAAGCCACCACCTTGGGCACATGCTATGCTAAGGTGGGAAAAGTGGATTAGACTCTCTCATGGAGCTAGTGGGAGCCTCTGAGGGTTCCTGAGCAGGAGCATCCAGGATAAAAGGAAGTGGGGGGCTTGGGCTGTGCTAGATGGAGAAGGTCTGACCGTAACCCCTGTGCCTATGCCCACAGCTCTGCCTACAGGGCACTTACTGGACTACTTGGTAGTAGCGGTGCAGGAAGAAGGACCAACCATCAGGGCTCAAGTACAGTGGGGCATCCGGGTCCTTGTCGATGTCCTTGTGGGCCATGCTGCTAAGGTGCTCCTCACAGGCACTCAGAGCCTCATCCACAAACTCTGGGGACACCATCACTGCCTTTTTTTCCTGTTTCTTGGGCAGTGGGTTTTCTGTGGGGATGGAAGGGACCTGTAAATAGCCCATGTCGAAGCAGGTAATGTTACATATGCCATCGTCCTTTGCTGACCTGAAACCTATCACTTACCTGAGGCCTCATCCTAAAGACACCTGAGGCCCAGAGTGAACTTGATCCCCAGCCACCCTGAGACGTGCCACTCACTCACCTGAAACTGCTCTAAATTCACTTGCAACCCTAGCATTTTGTCCCTGGGCACCTCTTACTCAACTAAGGCTCCAGCCTAAACATCCCAAAGGTCTCTAGAGCATGCCTACCCCAGCATCTACCAGCAGCTCTCTTTCCCTGGGCCCCTTGACACAACTTAGCCCTACAGTGTACCTGGTAGCCTTGCCTAGGTGAACCCAGATACACATGAAGCCAGATCTGACTTAGCTTCCTATACATCCCATGGGATACCTGAAGCATCCCTTCTCTCAGAATCCTGACGGACATCAACAGCCCTTAAGCTGAAAAGTCCTAATGTACTCGTGCAAATGGAAGCATTCATATGGAAGTGATATGCCAACCTCTGCCCGAGAGGACCTGATGCACACTCATGACCCTGGCTCAGCCCTTTGCCTATTTAAAAACTCTGACATACAACCAAGCCCTCAACTGCCCACCTGCAACTTTGACCCATACTTGAGCTCAGCACACAGAAGTTTAGGTGCAGGGTCTCTGGCCACACAGGGTCTCCTGTGCCCAGATCCTGGCACACAACAGTCTTTTGGGTACCTGATCCACCTAGGTCAAGGTACCAAGTGACAGCAATTGAAGTTGTATATGTAGGGGTTCCTCTGGAAGGGCCAGGGAATTTTCTTCTTCCAGTAAAGCTGCCCACCCCTTCCCAGAGTCCCTTGGCCATGGAGCCCCAGTATTGCAGAGGGGAAGGGAAAGCAGTATGTTGGACCAGCATGCAAAGGGTTTCTATGTCTCCTCCCTTCCCAGATGTTCCTTATGTGCAGGCACAGGGTTTCTTGGGAACATCTGTACATAGCTGTGTTCCTCTGCGTCTTCTCAGAGAACTTGAAGTGGTTTATCACAGGCAGGGATGGGCCATCTGGTCTCAGCCTGCCTCTCTAAAGTGGTCAATCAAGCCTATTCAAGGGCTGGACAATTAACAAATTGACAGGTAGACAGGTGTGGGGTAGATGCAGGGTAGAGTGCAGGATGACAGCTGGGAGGCAGAGGACAGACAGGTGGATGGGAAGACAGAAAGATGGACTGTGCAAGGACAGGAAGGAAGGGGGTAGACAGATGGATGTAAAATGGAAAGGATGGTAGTGGTAGTGACCACAGTGATCGGCAGGAGGTGGCCAGGCGGGAGGGTGATGGAGAGAATGAACGGACGGTGGCTGGGAAGACAGGTGGATGGCTGGGTGAACGGGAGTGAACTATCTTCACAGGCAGGAAGATGGCCAGGTTGGTGGTAAGGCTGCACTCTGGTCATATGACTTAAACACGTGGATGAACAAATGAGTGGACAACTGGGCACATGACAGCGAGAGTGGAGGTGACCACGGCACTCACCTAAGACCTCTTCCTCTCTTGCCTGGATGGAGGTGGAGTATGGCTTCGCTTCCGACTTCACCACCAGCTTGAGAACGTTGCGGGCAGCTGTCAGCCAGAAGTCCTCTGCTCCCAGGCAGGGATACCCTGCTCAGCCCCCAGGCTCCAGGCCTCTCCTGGTTCTGGAACCTCACCATGGCTTGCCCCATTTTGGATCCAGAACCTCATTTGCCTGTCTCCCTCTGGCACCTGGCTTCGACCCCAGCTACAGAATGTCATACCCACGGTATAACCAGCTTGGCACAGGCTGTCTCCTGAGAGCGCTCTGGGCCTGTTGCCACTCTTTCTTTCTTTTCGTTTTCTTTTTTGAGACAGGGTCTTGCAGTTTCAAGCTGACTGGCTTGGAACTCGCTATGTATACAAGGGTGGTCTCAAATTTGTGGCAATCCTGCCTCGGCTTCCCCAGTGTGGGGATTTTAGGTGTGACCCCCCCACCCTGGCCCTCCTTGTCCATTTTGATACTTACTCTAACCTGAATCACAGTGTGACCTACATTCTATCTCAGGTTTAGAACATAATTTAAAAGCTGCCATCTGCTCTGGACCCAAATTCTGAATTCAGAACCCATATCAGAGCTGGAACCTACTCTGCCCTAGAGACCCACAGCCTTTTATGGAACCTGGTCCAGCCTGCAATTTATCTGGATTCCAAATGGAACCAACCCACCAACCTCTAGAACCTGCTCTAGAGTAAAAGCCTGGCTCCCTAGGCTTCTCTGTGCCAGGGTTGTCCAAGCCATGAGGCTCAGGGATGGAAGATGCATTAGTGGGCAGAAAGGGCCGGGTTACAGAGAAAGTCTACTGAGGAGGGCAAGAGGGGAGGGCCTGTTGTTTTCCACTGTGGCAGCACGAGGGGCCAGGCATGGGATTGGAGTCCCCTTACCTATGAAGGCTTTCTTGTCATCCTCTGCTCCCAGGCGATAGCATCGTGGGAAGAAGGAGTCAGCATCAGCCTCGTCAAACCAAGGCAGATTCCGGAGGTTGAGACACAGGCCCACCTATGGAGATAGCTGCTGAAGGGGCTGGGTAGGACCCAGAGAGTGTCTAGGGGCTCCTCCACATGCAGCATACGTTCAGACACCCAGGAAGACCCTGCCTGGAACTTCCAACCCACTTACAAGGCCTAACTTGATTTCCATCTCCAGGTTTGCCCAGCTGAGAAGGCCCCACCCTTTCCCACCCATAAAAGCCTATTCTACCCAGGAAGCCTTCAGGGTTCACACTATAGTGTGAATGATGACATAGTACAGTGGTTCTCAACCCTCCTAATGCTGCAACCCTTTAATACAATTCCTCAGATTGTGGTGACCCCCAACCATAAAGTTATTTTGTTGCTACTTCATAACTGTAGTTTTGCTACTGTTATGAATCAAAATATAAATATCTAATATGCAGGATGTCTGATATGTGACCCCAGAGGGCTCACACTCCACAGGTTGAGAACCACGGGCATAACAGATGCTGGTAAACCCTTTATCCTTTACACAGTCTTAGACAACAGACATGTCGGTATTCTCATCTAAAGATGAGGAAGTGGAGCCTTGGAGAGGTGGAGTCATTTACTAAGAAACCCAGGATCAGACATGCTCTGCTCAGGCCAGGGCCCCTTTTGCTCACAGTCATTGACTGGGTGTTTTTCTGTTTTCAGGCTTTATGGAATTCAGCCCACAATCGTCTTATCAACATAGGTCAGGTACAGTTTGGGGACTAGATGTGAACCCAAGAACATCTTATCTTGTGTTCTCTGCAGCATCTTCTCTTGACTGGCAAATACAGCAGGAAGCAGGGCCGCCAGCCCAAAGGGTGGGGTTGGATCCCCTGGGATGCCTACCTTTGTAGTAAAGGAGCCTGCATGGGCATAGTGGTTTATCATCTGATCCTTGGAGAGGAAGCGACAATCCAGCACATCTCGCCGAGTGGTCCAGATGAGGTAGGGGGTCTCATTCCGAACCATGCGGGACTAGAGTAAAGGAGAGGAGTGATGGAGACGGGGAGGCCAGTGGGGACAGCTTCTCCCTGCCCTGCTGCATAGAGAGGAGAGGAGGTGTTCAAGGTATCGTCTGGACTCCCCCATCTCTGAATAAAGGCATGAGAAGACATTTGCCCTAGGGGTATGCTGAGTGAGCAGACAGCAGGCCAGATTTCCAGCCTCTACTTGGACCTCCTGTCCCAAGGCAGTAACTAAGCTGTACACCATGATGCCACACCTTGCTCTGTGACCATCAGTGATTGTCCCAGGGGAACGACAGTGACTCCAATCAACGAGCACAAAGCATGGACAGAGGCTCTCTATGAACCCAACCTTTCCATTCTCCCTACAACTCTGGGACACAGGGTGGTTATTAGCTAACAACACTGTAGCAGGTTCTACTCTATTTTTAGAGACAGGCTCCTGCTATGCAGCCCATGGAAGCCTCAAACTCACTAGGTAGCCCAGGCTACCTTCTAACTCATGGTCTTCCTGTTCAGCCTCCCAAGTGCTAGATTACAGATGTGCACGACCCTACCCAGCTTGAAACTGCCACCTCTGTGTATTGGGAAAGGTTGCTTCAGGTCAGGCATGGTGGCACAGACCCAGAACTCGAAAGGCAGAGGCAGGCAGATCTCTGAGTTGAAAGCCAGCCTGGTCTACAGGGTGAGCTCCAGGACATCCAGGGCTACACAGAGAAACCCTGTCTTGGAGAGGAAAAGAGTAAGAAAGAACGAGCAAAGGCTTCATGCTGACAATGTCACATTGTTCTTCTGGTGAGCTGCTGTCTCTGTGGCCTTGTTTGTGGGGATCTGTCACTCTGAGTCTCATCTGTGGAATGCACGAGCCACACCCTTAACCCCCCCCCCCCCCTTAGAGGGCTTGAGTGAAGACGAATGAACCGACACAGGAGAAACAGAACAAGGTTCAAAAGGGGTGTGCTGGTGCTTGCCTGGCTGCTGCTGGTTTGGTTTTTTGCTTTTCTGAGACAGGGTTTCTGTGTGTAGCTCTGGCTGTCTGGGAACTCTCTTTGTAGACCAGGCTGGCCTTGAACTCATGGAGATCCACTTGCCTCTGCCTCCCCAGTGCTGGGATTAAAGGAGTGAGCCACCACCACCTGGAATATAGTGCTTGCCTGCAACTCTAGCACTCAGGAGGCTGAGGAAGGAGAACTTGAGTTCAAGGTCAGCCAGACCTCAGCTTTATAGTGGAACTCTGTTTTCTTCTTCTTCTTCTTCTTCTTCTTCTTCTTCTTCTTCTTCTTCTTCTTCTTCTTCTTCTTCTTCTTCTTCTTCTTCTTCTTCTTCTTCTTCTTCTCCTCTTTTGTTTTCTTTCTTCTCTATGTAGCCCTGGTTTGTCACTCTGTAGACCAGGCTGGCCTTGAACTCACAGAGATCCACCTGCCTCTAACTCCTGAGTGCTGGGATTAAAGGTGTGGGCCTCTACCACCTGGCCAGGAAGAGACTCTTAAAGAGGGATTGTTTAGATCAGGCTGGTCTGTGGGGCACTGTCTTGATTACACTAATTGATGTGGGAAGACCCAGATCAAGATGGGTACGACTGTTCCTTGAGCTTGGGTCCTGGGCAGTATATGGGCAGAGGAGAGCTGAGTAGAGAGCCAAGCACGAATTCAGTTCTCTGCTCCTGACTATGGATGTGACGTGACCGCTGTCTGAAGGTCTCCTGGCTATGGATGTGATGTGACCGCTGTCTGAAGGTCTTTCCCTGGACTTCTCTGCTATGACTGACTATAACCTGGAACTAGAAGCTAAATTTTCTAGGCTAAGTTGCTTTTTGTCAGGGCATTTTATTATAGAAACAGAAAATCACTGAAGTCAGCCAGATGACACATAATGGTACCTGTGGCCAAGACCTAATACCTGAGCCGATCCCCAGACCACGTGATGGAATGAGAGAATCAACTTCAGAAAGTTGTCCATGACCTTCACTTGTGCCTGTGGCATGTGCAGGCCCACACCCACATGCAGTGGTATTTGCTCTGTCCATGACCTTGGGCTATAGGGCCCAAAGGAGGCGGTGCTTCTTTTTTTTTTTTTTGTACACCACCTCTTATAAAGTTGGAGGAGGATCACATGCCTCTTCTCCCTGCTCCTGCCAGCGAGGTAGAGGAGAGAGATGGATCAGTGGTTAAGAGCACTGACTGATGTTCCAGAGGACCCTGGTTCAATCCCCAGGCTGTCTGGTGTCCAGTCACACACCAGGATAAAAATAAAAAGAAAGAGGAAGAAGGAGGCATGTGGCCCTTCTTCAACTCCTTATAAGAGGTCATATACAACGGCAGAAAGCACCCACTCCTTTGGGCCCTACAGCCCAAGGTCATGGTCAGAGCAAATATCACTACATCCACATACATACAAATCACACACAGAGAGAAAAAGAAATGGTAGTTTCATATAGTTCACTTAGTCTGGGTGGGGTCAAGCTCTGAACTTGTGCCTTCTCCTCATCACACATGCCCTTCATACCAGCACGCCAGCCTCTCAAGTTTTGGTGTGCGTATTTTTGTGTGTAGGAATATGTGTATGTGTATGTGTGTGTGTGTGTGTGTGTGTGTGTGTGTGTGTGTGTGTGTGTGTGTGTAAGCCAGAGGACAATCTTGGGTCCTACCAGGAGCCACCCATCTTGCTTTTTTGTTTTTTAAGAATGTATTTTTTTTTTTGTTTTTTGTTTTTTGTTTTTTGTTTTTTGTTTTTTGAGACAGGGTCTCTCTGTGTAGCTTTGCGCCTTTCCTGGAACTCACTTGGTAGTCCAGGCTGGCCTCGAACTCACAGAGATCCGCCTGTCTCGCCTCCCGAGTGCTGGGATTAAAGGCGTGCGCCACCACCGCCCGGCTAAGAATGTATTTTTTTTTTTTTTTATTTCCTGTATATGGGTGTTTTGCCTGCAAGTATGTCTGCAAGTATACCAAATTCATGCAGCACCCAGGGAGGCCAGGAGGTGGTGTCAGATTTCTTGGAACTTGAGTTACAGACTGTTGTGAGCTGTCATGTGGGTGCTGGGAATCAAATCTATGTAAGAGCAGCCAGTACTCTTAACCGCTGAGCCATTTTGCAGTCCTCCATCTTGTTTTTGCCAAAGTGTCTCTCACTGGACTGGAGCTTGTACGGTACACTATGCTAGTTGGCCAGCAAGCCCTAGGGACCCCACCAGTCTCTGCCTCCCTCCCCAGCACGGAGATTACCAGCTTTCCACCACCACCATGCCTGGCCTATTTTTTTTGAAACAGAGTTTCTCTGTGTAGCCCTGACTGTCCTGGAACACCCTCTGTAGACCAGGCTGGTCTCGAACTCACAGAGATCCTCCTGCCTCTGCCTCTCGAGTGCTGGGATGAAAGGCATGCCCCACCACTGTTCAGCTGACACACCTGGGCTCTGGGGCTTGAACTCAGGTCCTCACTTGAAGGACACATCACCTTTGCTTGTCTCTTGACTTTTAAAGCCATTTCTTACAGCCTTCATTTACCAAGGGCAAAGGAAGGAGATGAGCAAAGTAGTCTGTATGCAGTAGGGAGAGCCATCAAAACCACCATGAGTAGAGGATGTGGTCACCCTAGCAGCCCTACAGAGTCCCTCACCATTCTGCAGACCTAGTCAATCTTTAGAGAAGCAATCTGATTTTCCAGACTGGAAGCTGGGGTTCAGAGAAGGAAGGACATCCAGTTGGATGGTCTTTCTCTGAACAGACGCCTCCTGCCAGCCCCCCCCCTGCCCCCGTTATGTACTGACCCCCAGAGTCCTCACCATCAAAGCGTGTACCCCATCCAGGTCATCAAGTTCCAGAAACCCATCAAAGTCCAACAGCTGTGACTCCCGAAACTCCTCATTCTCCTCTTCGTCCTCTGTGGATGTGAAGGATGACTCCATGGAACTGTGTCTATGCCCCACAGCCCTTTAAGGTCTCAACCCTGGACCAGTGGGAAGCAATGGAAAAGGTCTCAGGAAGGACAGCTTGTGTACAAGGAGAGACCTACTCACCATCCTCTGTGGCATCACTATCACCCATCACCAAACTGTCTAGATCCTTCGGGGGTGGTGGCAGGGTGGTGCCTGGGGGAGGGACCATCTTTTTTTCTACCCATCCCCTCTGGCGCAATAGACACCGGATCACTGGGTAGCGGCCATGAATCATGAAGATCTTCTTCTGCTGTAAGGTGAGAGGCAGGGACTTCCTTCAGCATCAGACATATAGGAGGCAATGGTGAACCAGACAGGATCTCTGCCTTCAGGGAATTTTTATATCCCAGTAGGAGGCAGCTTATAAACAAGAAGAAAAATAAACATGAATAGCTAACAGTTACTGAATACCTATTATGTGGTAAGCTCTTACATGCACCACTAAGAACAATTTGCATTTTAATTACATATTAAAGGCACACAGGGGCTAAACAGTTTCTCCAAAATTACATGGTAGTTAAGTGACCGAGCAAAGACTTCTTCCTTTCTGTTTGGTGCTGGGAATTAAGCCCAGGGCCTTGTACACATTCTAACACTGATATTCCCAGTCTCAAACTGGGCAAACTGGGAAGGAGCCACAAATGCAGAGCTGAACAAGTGGCAGTTCAAGCAGGATGGAGTAGCAAATGCAAAGGCCTGGAGGCTAGCTAGAAGTCAGAAGGAACTGAGAGGCCAGGGAGAGAAGTCTGACAAACGACAAACGAGAGCTCCCAAGAATAACGGAGTGTGCCGGGCGGTGGTGGCGCACGCCTTTAATCCCAGCACTCGGGAGGCAGAGACAGGCGGATCTCTGTGAGTTTGAGGCCAGCCTGGGCTACCAAGTGAGTTCCAGGAAAGGCACAAAGCTACACAGAGAAACCCTGTCTCGAAAAACCAAAACCAAACAAACAAAACAAAACAAAACAAAACAAAAAAAGAATAACGGAGTGTGACTGGACTGTGGAGGGCCCCATGGACCCTAACATTTAGATTTGTATTTTATAAGGAGAGGAATGAGTCAAGAGGGTAAGGAAGGAAGTAAGGGAGGCTCTATAAGTTTGCATGCAAATGCATGGAGAATGAATGGGGTTGGGGGGAAGGGCACAGAGGCAGATCCTTAGGAGGGTGCCATGGTCTGAACAACTGTGATAGTTAGAAGGAGGGTCGTAATGTGGAAACTGGGAGGGAGGTGCTAGCTTGAGACTCATTTTGGAGGTGTGGATGAGTTTGCTGATGGATGGATGGAACTGGAAGAATGGATTTCTGGTTTCTAAAACAAGTGATGGGGAAAACTGGATACCGGGGAGGACGACGGGTTTAGAGATGGAACAGGGGTAAGGTTTGGAATGCAAGTGTGAGGTGCTGGTGAGCTCTTTGGGTGGAGACATCCAACAGAGGGCTGGATCTCCAGGGTGGGGGCTGGAGACAGGAAAAGGGGGTGCAGAACACGGTGTGATCCTGGACTCCCAAGCTCAAGAGAAGAGGTGCGTGGAGAGGGACCCAAGGAATCACAAACATCTGGGGAATCTTCAGAGGCAGAGGCCAGGGAGTAAGCAAGGGAAACTAGGAGTGTGAGCCAGCCATTCAGCCCAGGATGGAGTGTGGGACCCGTTTGTGAGACACAGTGCCCCAGCAGGAGGAAGGCAGTTAGGGGCTGCAGGACGTTGCTCCTTACTGGATACCAGAGCCCTAGATGAGAGTAATTTCTAATGGGAATGGGATAAAAGTGCTGGGAATCAGGGCTGAGAGAGCTGAAGAACGTATCCCTAGGTAGAGACAATTCAGTCAAGACTCTGGGCCTAAAGAGGGGCTGAGGACAGAGGTGAGGGACACTTACAGATGCGCAAGCATGTGTGTGTCTGTGTGTGTGTGCGTGTATTAAGTCTTTCTTTGACATTTATGGATTTATTTTTTAAGGATATGAGAAACCAGTAAGCGTAGCCACCGCCCCCCCCCCCCCCCATCCCCTCCGACCTTGACGGCTCTCTCTACGTGGATTTTGGCGTTTCTGAGTCGGCCCATGGAGTGAGGTCCCTTGGAGAATCCTCGCCAGAGGACAAGGGAATCTGCAGAGAGATGCGGAGCAGGAACACAGAAAGCTGAGGGTTTGGCCCCAGGACTTCTCTGACTCCCGGTGCCCGCAATCCCTTGCCCCTACCCTGTATCCGGTGCTCTCCAGACTCCCCATTCCTTCCACCCTCGCAACCTCTCCCTGCAGTCGTCAGGATGTCAGGGCTGGCTGCCCGCGCTGCGCCTCACCATCAGGCGGGGGCGGGACATCAGGCAGGTGCTCATCCAGGGTCGTGGGGAGCAGGGAGCAGACGGGGTAGGGATTCGCAGTGCCCTGGGCACCCGGCACGAACTCGTGGGCGCTGCTTAGGTGGCGCACAGGCAATGGACTGCAATCCCCATGGCTGCCGCCGCAGTGCGCCACCTCGGGCCTGGCGGAGGCGGGCCCAGGCCATTGTAGCCTCCTTGGCGGGCGGAACTCGGAGCTGCTGCGTGCCCAGGGCCACCGGGAAGGGGAATTGGTGCAGAGCTCGGGTGGCTGCGGCCTCCCGTGCCAGCTGCACTCCGAGCCGCCTTCCTGGTCGTAACAGGCGGCTGCAGGCCCAAGCTGCCCCGCGTTCAGGAAAAGAGCCGCGCTGAGGGCCTGCATGCGCCTTTCGCCAGGATCACTCCCGGCACCCCAGTGTGCGGCTCTACCCAGGCGCCCTCTGGGGCTCCGCCCTCTGTTCCCGTCTCCTAGGAGACCGTTACCCAGGCACAATCAGACTCAAGACGGCTGGAAAGCCGCCCTAGGAAAGTGGAGTTAGGACTTTTCATGGTGTTTTTGGCTCTGGGCCTCACTTGCCATACGCCCTTGCTGAGCCAGGTACTGAGGATGGAAGAACCAAACACTGCGGCGACCTTTAGAGTTCCTTATTTTTTGTGCCTTGGCCCACACACTAAGGCTCTGGGATAAGGGCTGCCAAGTGGTCCCCGATCTTATGGAGCTTAGTGTGTGGAAATCCAAAAGTTAGCAGAAGAAACAAAAAGGTATTGCAGGGAAAAAGCAGTGAGCTGAAACTGGGAAGGCTTCCTGATGGTAAGGCAGTTAGGGGTGTGCACTCAGGTGACTGGTTGAACTAATGGTGTACATACAAAGGAGTCAGGAACCACCAAAGGAAGAGATGAAATCACCTTCTAGCAGTGGAAGTCTCAGCAACTGCCCTGGAGAGGAGGCTGAGAACATTTCTATAGGGGGATTAAAGGCAGCTGGTGAGACTGGGTCATCCAGTGGGGCCTGGGTGGAGATGACAGATCTTTGGGCTACGTGTGGGGTGACACCGTGAGGTTCAGAGCACACACTGCCTCTTCTACAAACATGAAAAAGTAAAATCATTTTTATCAACTGAAGAAATGGAAAGACACAGAGTACTTCATATTCTGGCCAAATCTGTAAGTGAGCAAGGCACTATCTTCAGAAGTCTTTAGAGAAAATAAGTCAGAGTCTAAAACAGTACATAACTTGTCTCAAAATCACACAGCATAGCCAATCCTAGTACAGAGAGGTCTGGTTCCAACATCTTTTTTTGAGACAGGGTCTCGTGTACTCCAGGCTGACTTTCAACATCTGGACTGCCACACCTGGTGCCAGATGGAATTCAAGACTTCAAGCATGCTGCTACTAGACAAAGCAGTCCAGCAACTGTGCTACCTGCCCAGACACTTGGGCATCCTGTTGGGGTTAGAAGCACCAAATGGAATCATAGAGGCCAACTCCAGCAGTGTCTACTCAATCCAGCTGTCAGTCACCAGGAAGTCTGCCTTTGTAAGGAAGGTCTCCCAGCTACCTGTCCAGCCAAACCCAACCAGAGATCCCCCCCCCCCCCCCCCCCGACCCCGCAAATGGCTGGGAACTGGGCTTCCAAGAAAAGAGGGAGGACTGACTACTTGGAAGCAATCTGGTCTGTTCTCAGCCTGCAAATCTGGTTTTAGGGACTTTGGACCTTGGGAGATAACTACAATATAGCAAAGTTTTGACTGGCTCACCGGAAAAAGGGTGTTCTTTGAGGGTGGAGTGACCAGCTTCCATTTCCTCCTGATGAGTAAGCTTCACCAAGACCTTTAATAGTCACTGCAAAGCTAGGAGAGTGCCATGTACCACAGGGTCCAACTAATCCAATAAAGCAGGAGGTCACAGAGGTAGTGTCATAAAGGGATGGTAGCTAGTCAAGCTGCCCCCACCCCTCCTTTAACACTTACCAGTTCTTTTCAAAAGACCCCTCGGGGGGGCTATTGATGTAGCCTGGTGATAGGTTTGCACATTGCGCTGAAGACCCTGGGTTCAATTCCAGCACTGAGAAACAATTCCTGCCAAACCTCAGCAAATACTCCTTTGGCCATCCAGAAAGCTCAGCTCTTTCTCACACACACCTTTTTATTTCATTTGAGAAAGTATCTTTCTGTAGTTCAAGGATGGCCTAGAACTCACAGAAGTCCTGTTTCCAATTTCCAAGTGCTAGAATTACAAGTGTGAGGCAGCATGCCGGGCTCCGGGCCAGCTGTTCCTGCAGCTTTCCCCGATCCCCTCTCCTGCGAGCATATCCTCCACCCCTCCACGTCCAACCATGACCACCACTCTTAAGTGACTACTGACAGACCTCACTTGTCCTGGGCCTGCTTTTATCAAAGTATGACTGGGTGTCAGCACTGATGCCCAGCACACACAGGTTAAACAGGAGGAACAGCAAGTAGAGGATCAACTACTGTTCACTCAGCATCTGCATGGCAGGTAGTGATACAGCTCCCACTGTCTCTACATTAGGAGACAAGAGAAAGGGTCACTTCAGGAGCCACCCAAAGTCACAGGCACTGTCTGATGGAATTCCTGAGCACTTTCAGTACTGAGTTACCTGTAGCTATCCAACATCTGCAAAGTCACCAATGGGACTAAGATCTTGAGATAGTGTAGAGTGATTCCTGCTAGCACAGGCAGAAATCTCTCCCTCTGGCTCACAGGATGGGAGATTTGGAGCAAGCTATTTTGGACTGTGGCACCTGTTTCCTTATCTACAAAGTGGGGCCTTGGTTTCTGAGGACACCTGAAGATAGACTAGAAGCATGATGTGAAAACACTATTATCTCTGTTCAGGCAGAGACCACCTTCAGAGTAATGGTGCCTGATTGCAGTGAAGGTCTCGGAGTCGGGACCCTTGGCAGAGACCAATGACAAAATTGCATGGTGGACTGCTCCAGACCCAAGTGCCAGCCATACATGGCTCCAAGGAATAAAAACAGCTGTCCTTCCACACATACACAGAGCACAGACCTCATGCAGCCCCAAAGGGGCAGGAAGAGACTTTAATTAGGGGAAGGGAGGATTCATCAGAATCAGAGACAGCGAGCGTGGGAGCAGAGGAGTCAGAGTAGGCGAAGCCCAGCTGGGCACTCAAGGACTCACCTCTGCACCTCCAGCACAGGCACTGGACCCAGACAGGCAAGCCTTGGGGCCTCTCAGCTGGGGAGGTGTTGGGGGGGCGACTCCAGGTGGCCCCTGCAGCCAGAAGTTGCCTGGCTTTTGGACCCCAGCTCCTAGGTCTGCCTGGCAATCATAGATTCAGCCCTTGTTCCCAACCAGTGCGGTGGCCATCTTCAGGCAGAACTCAGGAGGCTAGTAGAGAGTCCTTACCACCTCTATTGGGCCCAAGGAGTAAGACAGCAAGGAAGAGAAACTGGAGTCTGAAACTTCTCTCTCCCCACCTGGGGTGGCGCAGGAAAAATAGTCGCCTTCTGGCTCCAGGCCCGCCCAGACCACAGCGACCAATAAGGTACAATCACTGGGGCCAGTCACAGCCACTGGAGGTGGAGGTTGTTTAAAAAAAAAAAAAAAAAAAAAAGACAAAAAGGTTACAGTCTTCCACAAGCACAGAGTTTAGGTTTCAAGACGTTTAAAAAAAAAGTCTGTCCCGGCCCAGGGGACTAAACATCAGAAGCTAGTCTGACCAGACACGTGTGGCCTTGGGGTAGGTCCACTGCTGCCTTTTTGCACAGCTAGAAAGCACACCACACCCACCTCCCGCATCCAATGCCCACCCAACCCTGCTTCCTGCTGCTGCCGCTGCCGCCGCACCGCTGCTCCGGGGAGTGACTCCAGGACACCTTCGCAGACACGCAGAGACACAGGGAAGGCCAAGGGGGAAGGCCGCGAGATCCAGCCAGATGGTTTAAAACTGTCAAAGAGAATGACAGGCAATGAATGGGGCTACTGTATCCTGCCTGATGAGTCTATTCCAGGTAAGCGGGCTCTGAGCCGCTGTTGTTCAGGTCTCTGAGTACAGATCAGGTTTTGGTACTTCACGAGCATACTCTTTCTTTTTGAACCTACATGTGGGTACTGGGATCCAAACCCAGGTCCTCTGAAAGAGAACAAGTGCTCTTAATCACCAAGTCATCTCTACAGCCCCATGAGCATGCTCTTAATCTGGCCAGACTAGCAGTGATCTGAAGACACTTGCCTAAAACATAAAATCAGAAAAAGAAACAATTCAGTGATGAGGGCTTCCCCACAGCTTGCCTGGTGTAACTGAAGCAGCTTTAGATACGGAGACCCACATGTGAAGGGCTAGAGGACTCAGTGAGCCAAGAGAGAGGGACAAGGTCTGGTACTTTATGTTAAACTTTGAGTGACTGTCAAACTAGAACAGGCCTTAGAAGAGCTTTCTGCTCCCTTCTTCACACACACACACACACACACACACACACACACACACACACACACACTGGGCTTCAGGTCCTGTATGTCCAGCACCTGGCCCCACCCTTAGCCCCTACAATGGTGTCAGGTATTTTTGTCTTTGCCCACACCCTCACAGCTGGTCTGGCAGGGGATGGTACAGCCTGGAAGCAACATCCACTAAACCTGCAGGATGGGCCCCTAGGTTTATTATTCCAGGTTCTGAGCCCCTCTTGGCCAGGAGAAGTACAGAGCTGGTTACTGCTCGCATTTCACTTCGGATTCAGCTGGAAGAGATTGTTGCAGTACAGTCCCTAGCCTGTCCTTTAGTCTTCTTACCTGTAAAGCTTGGAAATACAACTGGGAAGTTCATATTTAATTAACATACAGAGAAGGTCCTTGTACGTCTGACTGGGCAGACCGCTTACCAAACTCCCAATTTAAGGAAGGGGAAGCACAGAAACATCAGGAGCAATGAAGCAAACAAGAACCCACACAACACTAAAGCTCCAGGCATGGGAGTGTGTAACTCTACTCTGAGTGTCATGAGAACTGACACTATGCTGTTTAACTTTACTGCCTCTGTAATAATTTAAGTGCAGCTGGGTGTGGTGACACACACCTTTAATCCCAGCACTCAGAAGGCAGAGACAGGCAGATTTCTGAGTCCAGACTGATCTACTTAGTGAGTTCCAGGTCTGCCAAGGCCACATAGTGAGACCAGGCCTCAAAAACAAAAGATAATAAACATTAAGTACTAGGGGCTTAGTGATTAAATACTGCTCCCCCTGGAGAACCTGAGACCCAGTTCTCAGCACCCACACCAGTCAGCTCCTACAGCTCCAGCCCCAGGTGATTTGCATCCCCTGTTCTGGAACCTGTGGGCATAATCAATCTCTCTCTCAATCTCTCTCCTCTGCCGCCCCTGCCCCCCAGCACTCTCACGTGATCTTACCTATGTTCAACCTCCCTGAAAGGTGCACATGTGATCTTACCTATGTTCAACCTCC